GTTATGTTTTATCAAACCAATTTAAGTTGCATTGATCCTTGATGTGAATTGTAATAGCAACTTGATAAAAATTTCACCTAGTCCATAGTATCCATATATTAAATGGATATTGATAAGCATAACTTATATTTTTTTTCTAAGAGCAGAGTAATCCAAATATACCTTTACATTGTTGACTCTGAATAAATGATGCCTGATGTTATTTTGATTGATGGAATATTGCATTGCAATACCATGTAGAGAAGATAAATGTTATCCTCTAATTCTATAATTACGCTCCAGTAATAAAGACATGTGGTCAGTTGGTCCCATTTAGTAGTGTGGAAGAGTTTTTTTTTAATCAACAATGGGATAAAAGCTAATTGCTTATTTATTAAATGAAACTAAATAAGGATCATTTACACTCCTTACTTTTTAAAACAACAAATAGTTGAGGTCTTTACAAGGAGTCTCAACAATACTACAACTAAAGTTTTGACTAAAACTGAATTTTGCAATTCAATTAGCACACATATTATTCTCTCTGTGGATATATCTTACCACATTTTGTCAATCCTCATTAATTAAGTTGTGGTTGAAGGCATGTCGAATCTGCCACTATTTGGTTGCGAAGCATTCTAAAGTGGCATGGTACTCTTGAACCATGGAATATGAATCACTTTCAATTATCAACTTGCAGAAGTTAAGTTCTCACGCCACCTTTTTCCATAAAACAATTCCCAAAACTCAACTTCTTTAAATGTACATATGCTAAGGTTATGCACAAATTCACTCACACATTCACCATTAGAATTGCAGAAATGCCCCCCTATATGCTGCTAGCATAGGATTTCCTTGCGCTGATCCTTCTATGTTAAGTTTAATCCAACCTTGTTGTATAAGAGGAAGGAAAAGTGAGAGGATTTTAAAATATGTTTGGTATATAACTATGTATATGGAAGGGGTTAAAGTGCATTTCTCCTCGAGTGCTTTTCTTTAAAGAACATTGAGCACCATATACCAACAAGTAAGACATTTTTCCCTAAACCAATTTTTAGAGGAGTAAAAACCTCCTTCCATTAATGATTAACTTTGCCATTTTATACCGACGTGGCATGTTCGTTAATGATAATTTGCCTCCAAACTTTTTTAAGGAGTGATGGGCACCTAAAATTTTTTTAAAATAAAATTTAATAAATATCATAAAATATTTAGAGTTAAGGTCCTCATGTATTTATTTTTTAGGAATGTTTGACACTTAAGTAGGGCAATTTTACTCTTGAATTATTTTTTAAGGAGCAAAAAACCATTTCTATAAGTCAACCATTAAGTTTTTTGCTTTATGCTGATGTGGCACATGCATGGGGCCCACATACAATAATATGTAAGACTTTGACTATGTCATTTGATGCTAAGTTGCCCTTGAACTATTTTTTTAAGAGTATTGAGCATCTTAAATTCTTTTTCTAAGAGCACTGAGCACTTTGAAGTATTATTAAAATAAAATCTAATAAATATTATTAAAATATTAAGTATTTTATTTAAAAAATTACACCACCTAATTTAATATTTTAGTATTTTTTATATTTTACAAGTTTGTATTAAAAATAAAGGGAATGAACTTTCAAATTAACAAAAGAATTTTTTTTCTCATCTCTCTATTTTTATTTTGTTAAGTAACTTTTTTTGCAGCGCATTAATGAAATAAGCGATATCATTTAAATTAACATTTTTGTTCGCATATTGTTAGTCCTGATTTGTATGTTTCTAATTTTACCCCTAATACTATAATGTACAGAGAATATTAAATTTAGATAGTATAATATTTTGGAGGAAGATCGCTAGTTGATTACAAAATTATAAACAATGACCTAAAAATTTAAGAAACTTAAACAATATTAAAAATATAAATGAGTTTTGACATGTAAAAAAGGCATAACAATTAAATACTGTCTCGGAGAAAAGATCAAAAGTCGATATATAAAAATAAAAAGTCATCTATAAATTTATAAAATGCTAGTTTGAGTTATTAATATTTAAAAAGTAATTTATAATTTTTGAATGAATATTTATAAATAATAATATCTAAATTATTAAATATGAAAATATTTAATATTTTGGAAATATATATTAACTTTTTAATAAGACTTCAAGATACCCAATACTCCTAAAAAAGACTTTAAAGTGTCCAATGCTATTGAAAAAAGAGTTTATGGATAAATTAGCACTAAAAAATGGTTAAAATCTTACACGTCTCTGTGCGTGGACTCCACACACATGCTACGTTAGCAAAAAATAAAAAAATTAGCAGCCTCCTAACAAAAGGGTATTTTTGGCTCTCAAAAAAATATTTCAGGAGGAAAATTACCCAACTTAAAAGTATAGAATGCCTGATACTCCTAAAAAATAAGTACAAGAGTAAAATTAAACCTTTATTAAAATATTTAATGTTTATTAAGAAAATGATCTTTTAAAAAATTAATATTAATTAAGTCTCTTAAATTTTGTAGGTCATTATTTGTAATTTTATTATTAACTAATGATTGAATTAACAAATATTTATAATATAAATGTCATTTGTTCTTAATTAGTATTTTTTTGTAACGTAATAAGTTTTCAGTTTTAAAATTGAAAAAATGATTTGCAAATTTAAGAAGATAATATTAATTTTATCAATTTTTTTAGAAGTTCACTCCCTCCCTTTTAATATAAAATTGCAAAATATCAAACTTGACTGGTGTAATATTTTTGAGAAGGACTGTTAATTGCTCAAAAAAATTACAGAGAATGACATAAAATATTTGAAAGACTTGATCATTGTTAATTTTTTTTATAAAGTCATTTTTATAATTTATTTGATAATATTATTTTTATTTTTATTAGGTAAAACATATCTATTGCCCCTTATAGTTTACATCAATTTTTAATCAGGCCCCTTTAGTCTCAATTGCTATAATGAAGCCTTTGTACTTTAAAACATTAGGCCTATTAATCCCCCTCCCTTTAACATCATTAATAGTTGATGATGTGGCTCACATTTTAATTAGATGGACAATGAGTAAGCACAACCACACAAGCATTCATCCATTTCATTAGAGGAACTTTGTCTTCCTTTCTTGTTGCCTGTAAGCACTTACAAGCTTGCAACTATCTCGGCCATATTCTTCACATCCTGATCCCAAGCTAGAAATTAACAAGCCAAAATATATGTACATACAATATGTTCAGTGACTAAGAATCATTTCTCATTGAAATTACATAGTTGGTATACAAATTTCATCACTCAAACACCAACCTGGTCACAACATAGTGGTGTTTAATGATACAAAACTATAAAAGGTATCACTTTTAAGATGGTTATTGTTATTTGGGATCATCATTTAGCACACTAAAATCATCATTATCCTAAGTAATGATATTGAACTGTAATTTAATTTACTGTATTCTCCCAATGTTAAATTATGTGAGGATTTTTTTTACTGTGGCATTGTGATGTAAGAAACCTACACCTACGAGCATCAATTAACTTGATGGGGTTTCAACTAGCAACAGATGATTCTGAGAGCAAGGATCTCAAAAATAAGATCCAACATGAACCAACAATGAACAACATGTGGAACTAGAAAGACAACCTAGATTGCTTACCTATTTCACTTGGACTTGATGGTAATGGTATGCTTGCTAACTCTGTATGTTGCTCAATTTATGGCTTCTCCCATTCTGCCCTAACCTTGTCAATGATGAAGACCTAAACTCAATTTTGTAAACTAAATAGAAAAGGTAACCATGTCACTGACCATATGAATTTACTTATCCATATGTGTGCACAATCATTCGCCTAGTCAAAGCCATCAAAGACAAAGTTGATGGTGTTAATTGGTAAGGATTGCCAAGCTTAATATTTTTAAGAATAAGGGTCTAATTCCAAGTATTGATATTTGATGGGATTGATTGAAAATTGGTATTAACTATGAGGACCAGCATGTGTGTTATCCCTTATTATTATTTACAAATATTCATACACAATTTACAAGTTATTTATAAAATTTTGAAAAATTAGTTCAAGCTATTAATATTTAAAAAATAATTTATAATTTTTCTATGAATATTTATAAATACTAACATTTAAAATTAAATATTAAAATATTAAATATTTTAATAATATTTATTAAATTTTATTTTAACAAAACTTTAGAGTATCTAATGTTCCTATAAAAAGAGTTTAGGGACAAATTATCATCAAACCACACACCACATCAGCAGAAAATAATGGAGTTAATAGATCACTAATGGAAGGGATCTTTGCTCATTTGGAAAATAGTTTAAAGGAAAAAATATTACACTTATTAGTACAGGGTGTCCAAGTTCCTTGAAAGAAAATATATGGAGAAAAATGTACTTTAACCCTATAAGAAAGTGAGTTTTTTTTTTTTTTAAGGAAGTAAGAGAGGAAATGAGTTCCATGAATATAAATGTGGAAGTGAATTTCATTAATTTTGACGAGACCATATTATTTGAAAAAGTAAGATCCATTATATTAGATAATTTTTTGTTAGTCCTACTCATATTTCTCCAATACGAATTTCATACTATGGAATGGGAGCAACATTTTGACTTCTAAGAATATTATAATCATTTTTAATAGGACTAGTTGACTTAGCTAAGCAAAATATGAATAAAAGTACTTTAAAAATGAAAAATATTTACATATTGCACCTTATATATTTATTTAATATACTTATATCTAATCAAATCATAATAAATGAATCTTGATGCGTTGATTTAATCAAAAGCAATCATATTATGTATATAAGATTGAAGTTTTGTTTGGTTGTTACAAAGAATGAGAACATAATGAATTGAAAAAATTAAAACAAGAATGAATCAAATTACCATCTTCCTTCATGATAAACATGATAAAATTAAATATTATATATTATAAATGTAAAAATTATCACATTCTTTTAATTTTTTATAAATCATAATTTCTTATTTTATAAATTAAATTATTTTTTTTATGAATATAGTTCACTTATTTTTCTCCTCAATTTAGTTATCCTTGCACATGGGCCACGAGAATCTTGTCTGTATTGTTCTAATTTTATTGGATGTCCTTGCAGGGATGATTTTTGATCATATTACTTTTATTTTTATTATTTCAATTCATTATATTCTCCCCCCCCTCTCTAGCCAACAAATGGGATCTAAGTACATGAGAAAAGAAAGGGGGCGAGGGTCACGGTCGAATTTCGTATGGACTAATCTCTTATTCTCAAACAATATTAATGCACAGATATTTATTTCTGCAATCCTTCCTTTTTTCTTTAATCAACTTATTTATTTCTGCAATCCTGTTCAATCAAATTGAGGGGAACTCCGAGTAGAAGAGTTGGGCTATTAAGTGCTGTGTTGATTTATAGTATGTATACAGTATACTACATGGAATAGACTTGTAGAGTGTCGTTAATCGTTAATTATTTTTATTAATTAATTCCTATTCCAATTCTTATTCTTATTAACATACCATCAACATAAGAATACATTGATAATTAATAATTTGTTTTTGTAAATCTTGTCAAAGGATAATTATCCAAAAAGGATCGTTTATTTTTGTTTAGTTTCCCATAGACTCCATTTTTCTCCACGCAGGACCATTCCTTTGCCTGGGTCGTCTTCTTCGCTTTCATTCATGTCTTCCTCGTCTTCGACTATCCTCTTGCCTTTAGTTTCCGAATTCTTCGGCTCCAATTGGCTTTTACCGCTATTTTACTAGTCAATTCCATTACCTGACCTTATTCTCCCATCAGAGCTTCATTATCTAGGTCCTCTCGTGTTATCTGCTCAGGCTAAGTTATCATCTTTATTTGTTTCTTTGTCTGACATTCTCTTTCTTCCTCTCTTTTCATAAAATCTTTATTGCAAGCTGATTTTTTATTTTTTATTTTTTTTCTCAATGACATTCTTGATAAGGAATTGCGGGTTTGGATAGTTCCGAAAACTTTATGATTATTGTCTCTTGGAATCAGTTTTAGTTGCCACAACTAGCTTATTGCTTGTCTACTCTTGCATGCAGTGTCGTGGAGTTACTGTATAGAGTGATTGGTTTTTGTTTTGGAGAACTAATATTTCTCTGAGAAGCCGTACTTTAATGCGCACGGAGTTATCCAGTTAAATGATGATGCGTTTTATTGCAATTCTTTTTTTCTTTTTTTTGGTGTTGCAGAGAGAAAGTCCATGTGTTTTTCCAAGAAGCATTTATGTTATAGATATAGATTGCTCTTGATGTCTTTTCAAGGGGGAGGCTGAGTTCAACGGCTGCATAAAGCATTCCATTCCGCTGCATTCGTTGATTGTATTTGGCTAGTGGATGTGCCTCTGGAAAGTTTGCTGTTTTTGATAAAATTCGTTTGGACCGTTATAACTTTTGACTCGTTTCATCATCAGCAGCATGCATACTTGTATGATTTCTTCGGAGATTGTACTAATTATTAACTTTGTCTTGTTTGTAGAAGCTTTTCACAACCAACCAAGTCTTTGGGGCATGGACTGGCTGTTTATGCCTACTATCACTGTCAGTGAACAATGTTTAGCAGACAAAGAGGTGCCAGTGCTTTTGGTATATTCAAATCAAAACTTCAAGGCGAATCATCACTGACATCAGGTTTGCTTCTGAATGTCCCCCGAGAGATTGAATTGTCTGGCTATGGAAGGATCCCAAGTCAAGGCAGTGAGAGCCCTTCGGGGCTTCTGACCGGTGAGAGCTTGAACGTGGAGCTAATTGCTGATTTGGATCTCTTCTTCGAAAGGCTTTACAGCTACTACTGTGAGAAAGGGCTTGGGTGCATCATTGTAAAGTGGACTGTTGAACTTCTGAGTCTAGGTTTCACCATATGCTTTTCTGGATTTTTTTTACTATATGTTGATTGGAATGGGCTTCGCAATGCAAAGTGTGGGATGGATGCAGTTGAATCTGGAATCAAGCCCTGTAATCTAGCAAAAGAGGCTCTTCGGCAACTCCCCTTAACCCCGCTAACACTTACTAAAACTATTATTGTTGTATACTTGGGAATATTTTCCATCTTTTGGATATTTTGTTTCTTGAGGTTCTTTAATCAACTAAAGGACATTCTGGAAATCCGTCAGTTTTACCACAATAGGTATGTATAGATACTAAACAAAGTTGAAGCAAATGATAACTTTCCTTGATAAGGCTTTTTTTTTTTTTTTGTCATGATTAACCATGTTTTCCTTGCAGTCTTCATGTAACCGACGATGATATCCAGACCATGCCTTGGGCAACCATCCTTGAAAAGGTTGTTTTGATACAAAGTTCACAACAGCTCTGTTTGGTCAAGGATCTTTCTGCTCATGACATGGTGATGAGATTGATGCGGAAGGAAAATTACTTGATTGGAATGCTCAACAAAGGGGTGCTTGCATTCCCCATTTCTCATTGGGTACCTGGTGCTGGTCCTACAGTGAATTCTGGTCCAAATGGAACACAATGTCGTCTAATACTTACCAAGACCCTTGAGTGGACCTTGAATTGGTGCATCTTACATAGCATGTTTGATCGGTATATTTGGATTTCCCTTGAACTAACATTTTTTGTATGGAAATTTTACTTCATTAAAATTAATATAGACTGCAAGCACCATTCATGTGAATTAAGATAGACTGCAAGCATTCCCCATTCTCCAGACCTGTATATATTGTCTCTGAACTCGATGAATAAGAAATATAGCATTCTGAACCACATGTTATTTTTGCAGTTTGGGCTATAACCAAGACAATGACGTTCTCCTTTGAACATGTTTTCTTTGCAGAAACTTTTGTGTTAAGCAGGACTTTGTGTCTAATCCAAAGACATTAAAGAAAAGGCTTATGGTAGTTGGGCTTGCAATGCTTTTACTTTCTCCATTTCTTGTCATATTCATGCTGGTATATCTCTTTCTAAGGCATGCTGAACAATTTTATAATCATCCAAGTACAGCTTCATCTCGAAGATGGTCAAATTTGTCTATGTGGATGTTTCGGGAATTCAATGAGGTATCATCGTTGTTTTTACCTTGTTTTGTTAACATTTCCCCCCAACTTTGCTTGTTGCTTGTGTGGGCTTCTTGTTAGTGTATGAATATATCCTTTACAAAGGAAAGATTTAGTCATGGGGATTTATTGACTAGCAATCCTGACGAGGAAAAAAGCTTTACTCTATGGAATGATATTATCAGTCACCAAAATGCTAGACCTTGAATATTATTTAAACTGGGTCTTCAATTTTCTTTTAAGCATTAGTGAAAGAAATGAAATATTAATCTCTTAAACAAAACCATATTACTTGTGTAGTGTGAACTATTTGAACAAAAGTTATTTCTTTGGTCCTATTTATAGGGTAAAGAAAGAGTATTTGTTTTGGTCTCATTTATAGGGCACCTTAATGATTTTTGTGTCTATCTTTACACTTTTGCCTTTATTAAGGTTATTAAATGTTAAAGTATTTTATTGTTAAAATATGTATATTTAATAGTGGTAAAGTTGAAAACTTGTCGAATTTTTAGATAGAATTAATGAGGTTTAAGATTATTTTTTTTAATTCAAGTGATAATACTCAAAGTGACTTATAAATAGGATCAAAAAAAGTATGTTTTAACTAAGATGCATGTAACTGTTGGGAGTCACTCAGATTTAATGCATTGAAATCATTTGTATTTATTTGTTCTCCTGTAATATCATATCATTCTAAAGATTTTAAGTGTTCGAAAGTGATAGTGCCTAGTTATGGTTGTTGTTGAAAATAAGCATAAAGAACAGGAAGGGAAAAATAATGATGGGGTTAGCAGAGAGGAAAATAATCAAGGAATGGAACCGATATGGAAAGGCTCATGGGCAGGAGTGTGTATACAATGTAGTTATCATCTGTTTTTATATTTAGGAGATCAGGGGATGCGATACGATTACTTGCTTTATATCACCAAATCACAAGCTCCTTGACTCTAGATCTTCTTAAAAAGCTAGCTGTTTAAAGAAAATATTCTCATGATAAATTCTTGACTGGTCAATGGTTTTGATTACATCTTACCGGTGTCCCCTTTTATCATATGTATACTCTTACCAATTATGTAACTGGTGTTCCAGGTGGACCATCTCTTCAAGCATCGGGTTAATAACAGTGTAATACATGCTTCTGAGTATCTGAAGCAATTTCCTTCACCTATAGTATCTATCATTGCAAAGTTCATCTCTTTTGTATCGGGTGGTTTTGCTGCAATTCTGATCATCGTTGCTTTTCTTGAGGAATCATTGCTAGAGGGCCATGTAATGAATTTCTACTAGTTTTGCATAAATTAAGTTAAACCATGAAATATCATGACAGTCACTAATGATAGATATCTTGTTCCTAAAATAATATTGCAGATATTTGGTCGAAACTTATTTTGGTATGGTGCTGTTTTTGGAACAATAACTGCAATTAGCAGGGCTGTGGTTGTGAATGAGCTTCTGGTCCTAGATCCCAAGGGAGCAATGTTGATGGTGGTTCAACATACTCATTATATGCCAAAGAGATGGCGTGGCAAAGAAAGCACTGAAATGGTTCACCTTGAATTTGAAACATTGTTTCAGGTATTCTCTCTAAGGTATTGGTTTAATGCATTTTCATGATAGTATAGGGTTCAGCACTGCTTTCTCATGCTGTTATGTTTTTGTGCATTTCAGTATACAGGGATGATGTTACTTGAGGAGATGGCCTCAATTTTTCTCACTCCATATTTACTTATGTTTATTGTCCCAAAGGTCCTGCCATACTTGGACATAATCTCTACTTTGATTATTTTCCATTCATTGTAATGTTTTAATTGCTTGTTTTGTTCTTTTTGCAGCGGGTCGATGATATTTTGCAGTTCATTGCAGATTTTACAGTGAATGTTGAAGGTGTTGGCCATGTTTGCAGGTTAGTATGTAATTTTATGACTCATGATTTACATCCTTTTTCAATTTGCATATGCCAGTTGTTTGGGTGTCTTTGTGAAATTCTCCTTTGCTTCCTCTTTCCAGTTTTTGCTGTGTTAACAACACGTGATTTTGGTTGTTTTGTTGTACTCTCTTTATTATTGCAGTTTTAGTGTCTTTGACTTTCAAGAGCATGGAAACAGCAATTATGGTTCCCCACATAATGCACCTCGTAGTCGGAGGAGTTCTCAGGGGAAGATGGAGAAATCATTTTTGAGGTATGTTCTATGGCAGAGCTTGTCAAGTGCACAGAAACTGACTCAATGAAGTGGTACTATATTTCATATCCATTCTGGTTAATATTATGAGCCTCTTGGTTTACCAAAAAAAAAAAAAAAATCATGAGCCTCTTGGGGTGGTACATATAGACATTTAGAAATGCTTATGGCCGCTTTGCTTAATGTTCTTGCCTTCAAGCCATAAAAGCAGTTGTCATTATTGAGGAGAAACTGATAATCGTGCCTAGGCAATGCCTCTCAGTTTCCATGAAGCCATTTTTATTTATTTTTTATTTTTAGGTTAAAGGTTTACAAGAAGCCTTTACCACTGCTGTAATGAAACACGCGGATTCTGCCCATCTAACGCTTCGTTTTGTATTTTGCCATTGCTGTGTGAAAGCAATTATTTTACAAATGTGTTGCCATAATCCAAATCTGAATGTCATTAACTCAAAATAATAAAGGGAAAAAAAACGCTGTTATTATTGCAGTTTTCAGAGTAGTTATCCATCATGGGCATCAGATTCTAGGGGGAAGCAATTTTTGCTAAATCTTGGAACCTTCAGAGAGCAAAATTGGCAAGGACATGGAAGCAGCCATGCATTTCCTCCTCCTAGGTCGTGCAAGGGTAGTTCCAATACCAGGATCTACGGAAGCAGAAACAGGTTTACGTCCTGGGAAATGCCATGTGTATTTGGCAATCACTTGGGTTCGTTGTGGCTGATTGATGCCAACCAAAATAACCATCCTTATCTTCTAGATTGGTACTATACATCTCGACCTCATGATGCAACTATGCGAAAAGCTCCAACAGAATCATCCGAAGAAATTGAGTTTCATTTGGGAGATTATCCACTGCCCTCCAACTTGGCTCCTAATGTACCTGGTTATGAAGGATATCACGAGGATAGCTCAGCATCTCATCTTGGGGCTTCCACATTGGCTCCCATCTTCAAGGAAAGCTTAATTCAGGATCATAATTTTACTGACCGTTCCCACTCTATCAGAAATCACTGGTGGGCAAGAAGTGGCCCGCAGGTTGGGCAAGCTCAGACAAGCTTTTTTGAGCCTCCAGATTTTAATTACCGAACATCGTGGAATTATTATGATAAGTTTTCTGACAGGAGCTTGGAGGATCCAGAACAAGACTTGGACTGGAGAGACCATCAAAGATTAGCTAAAACAACTTGCCCAGATGACTTGGAGACGGGAGACTTCAAATTTCATGTTGATGATATCCATGGCAGACCTCCAGAAGTGGCCACTGTTAATCCAAACACTGCAAGCTTTTGATTGATGCTTCAGAAGGTTCTTGCTTCTCCCAAGCATATGGAATGCTTTAGTTTCTTAGTCATGATTGTCCCTTCCTTTGTAAAGGAATCCTGTGCATTCTTTTCTGTATATAGATAGGTTCTTTGTTATGATGTCAAGGTTTTACTGAGCTTCAGCTTTCAGCTTGGATTTGGGATTTGGGATGTCAGAGCTGCCTTACCGAAAATGTATTCTTGTTCATATTCATTGGAGCGGCTCTGTGCGACATGTGAATATGCCATTAACGTTGATCTTTCTTACATCAACTGGTATACGCATTTGAAAAAAATGTGGACTGCTTAACCTGGGAAATTTATGGGTTATCTTGAATTACCTTTGGCACGAGGAAAGCGGGGGCGAGTCGTTTGTTCACGTCTGCTTAATTTTCGTCTGTCTTAAAAGTTAAGTTTGACTTGTCAAACTTCTGTGGATAGCCAGGTTGTAAATTGAGATTATTGGCTGAGATGTATTATTGATGCTGGAATTGTTGACTGGATTATAAAATTTACAAGATAAAAGTAGGATATGAATGTTCATGTGCCTCTTACAGTGGCAAAGAGCCCACCTCATAGCTGTTATGCTGCATTTTCCCATATAAGCATGATCGCTCAGAGACAAAAAGAAGGCAGAGATGATTTCCCAAGTGAGACGTTTCCCATTCATGCCGCTGCTACTCATGGCTTCCCATTGTCTTCCTGGTGGGTCCCGCTGCTCTGCATTCTCTCCCTAATACGCATGACGGGAACATGGAAGCAATCATTCGCATTCATTGTGAATGAAGACATACACCTTCAAATCTAAGCAAATGACACTAAAAGCAATGCCTCTGTTCCACTTCCACCGTCCGACTCACTTCGCCATTCCCTATAATTGCAAAAGCGCTCTATTGTTTTTTGTGTCACTCATTTCTAATCCCCCACTTTGAAGATATTAACATTAACGACTGGAAATTAAGAGAACAACCAAGAAAAAAAGGGAACAAAATTTGTTACATCAGACTTCGTTCTCCAGGGGAAGCACCGCATTTTTGGATCCACGACCATAACGAAATGGAAAGAAAGACCTTCGACCTCTGCTGTTACTGTTACTGTCTTCACTCCCGCTTGCCTCGTTTTGATGCCTATGTGGCTGCTGTGCAATGGCTTGAACTTCCAAGTAAACTTGCCTATCATTTGCAGAATCCATGGAGAAAGATCTTCGAAGGGGCTGAATACAGAAGTGTTCATCTTTCTTCCTCGTATCAATACACTCGTCTCCCATGATGGACAGGTGCTGCCACTTCCTCGGTTTCAAGTGCCCCAGCTTCTGCTCCATCTTCCTTGCAGAGCGACTTCTGCTCGGTGCCAAGCTTCCCCCGCTCGACTGATTTCGTTCATGTTGCCCCAGTGACAGAGATCCCCCATCTTCTTCCCCCAGTTCAATGACCACAAAGTCTTCATCGCTACCCATATTGGAGAGTAACTGAGAATCTTGGGGAGAAGAGCTGGGTGCCACAATATGGTCCAATGGAGGACGAGCGGTACCCGAAATGCTTGATCTGCAAAGAGGACAATTGGCGTTGCTCTGAAGCCAAATGTCAACACAGTCCAAGTGAAAAGCGTGGCTGCATTTGGGCAGAACTTTGAGCATGTCCTGTTGTTGAAACTCACTCAAACATACCACGCACCCATACACAGTGCTCACACTACCAGCATGATCCTCACCTTTGACAAACTGGAATGTGGGTATTTCTCGGATGATGGATTCATCGAGGCCACGATTCCACATGGTGGGGGAGAGAGCTATGAACGGTTCTTCGCTGTGTCTGGGACGCAGAATGGAAAGCCATGTGAGAGGGTTGAGGTGGTGCCAGTAAGAGCAGCATCTGGTGACGAAAGTGAAGTAGCCGATGAGCAAGAAAGCCATGGCCATGATGCTGAGCACAACGATGGCGAATACGGGTAAAGCAGAGTCCGAGGTAGCCATAAAGCCGAAGTCCGTGAACGGGAATGCCTCAGGCTTGGACATACGGGATAAATAGGTTTGACTAACAAGTCGCAGAGGCCATGGTGTGGAGACGGTTCTAAAACCAGATTGCATTATGAAAGAACAAATATTATATTATTATTATTGGTGGTATATTATATTATTAGTAGATCAGAAGGCTTGCGAGTCCAGACACACCCATCGAATGAATCGGATTAGGAAACGGAAAAGCACGTGGGGTCGGGATTTGACTTTGTGACAAAATGTTTGGGTTTGTGTGGTTTTCATTCTTTTTCACATGTTACTTGCCCCTGCCTGATCTTGACTATTCCGTTAGGACCTGCCTCTTACCTTTTTCTGCAGATTTAAATTATAACAAAATTTACAAACATTAGTGTCACGTCTGGGGACCCCCAGCCTTGCCAAGCACTCTTCAAAACTTACCGTTTCATTATATTATGTGTACGATTCGACAAGATCTTGGTTTTAATAAACAAAACAACGCTGGAATAATGTCAGAAGAAGGTAATTAGTTACACGAATTATACGTTTGCAGCTGATTTATTGTTATCAATTTATCTGTAAATCAATCCTATTGGAATCCCTGCATGTCTTTCTATAAAATGATTAAATGCGCAACGTAACGTATTAAATTATGGGAGATCAATGAATGCACGTGCTATTGGAACAATATTTGTGTCTCGCAGGTCCTAGCTAGCTAGACCAGGATAAAGCAACTTATGAACACTAACAATATATTATATTTTATGACTACTAAGTCATTTAAATTATATACATTAATTAATATATTTATGTGTCCATAATTTATATTTAATTACGACAACACTAGAACGAAGTAAGATTCTCCTGCTTCCCATCCTACCCTCATAAGAGCAAGATTTTTTTTTTTTATTACCCACCCATCCTTTTGAGGGCAGGATCGAGATTACGAGAGTGGAAGCAGGAGAGAGCCTACTCCTACAGTAGAAACGTGCTAATATCAGTAATTAACAGTCAATACTCCATGAGAGAAATGTAAGACATGTGATATGCATTGTAACCCTTAGTTATCTATCAACATTTTATCTTAATTTCCAATTATGTAAAAGGATTGAAAAAAAAAATGCAGCTTCACTATTTTTTGTTCCAGCAACATTAATGGTATTTCCCTCCATATTGCAAAGGGAACACACAAGAATGGATATAATACACTACTGAAAAATTGCCAATATACAGGCCCATCCATATAATAATTATTTGAAAAATCGTTATATAAACAAAATAGGATTAGATTCAAGAAATTATATAACGGTTATATAACATAACCGTTATAAAGTCTCTCGGATTATACAACAATTAATAAGAAAACTTGTAATGTAGTTTTTAATTTTTTTTAATTCTCTTTTCAACTAATCACAAAATAATGTTTAAAGCTATATAGTTGTTATCTCCAATAATTGTTGTATAGACGATTTTAAAAAAGTTACTCTAAAGATTGTATAGCAGTTATTTTAAAATAACCGTTATACAATCTTACAACTATATAATAATTATTTTTAAATAATGGTTAAATAGTCTAATTTAAAATATTTTCAACTACTTCTTTTTGGATATGCTATCATTTTTATAAGTTATTGCTCTACATAGGTTTGAAGATTTTTTTTTAATGTTGTAATTGTAGAAAGAGAGGGCATAATATCAAGAGTATGATAATTTTAAGTTGTTATGTTGTCAAAAAAATTTCAAGTGTAATAGGACATAATTTTAAGCTGTGAGATGTTGAATCAGTATATGTTTTGCCCCAAAGGCATGGTGATTTGTTTTGAGCTAGAGGTTTATGACAATATCAATGCCTGGGAAAACATTAATAATGAGTTTGCAATAGAGGTTGTCAACCATGGGAAGGAGAGCACGAGTCTTTGTAAACATTTCATGAGGAATATTTACTAATCAATTATATATTTTAAATAACTTACTTATATTTAATATATTTCATTAATCATCATATTATTTTAACATATAAAGAACCTGCGTACATCGATGATAACACCTAGGAGCCTCTCAAATAGGTGCTTTTGATAAGTCTCCACGTTTCCCCTTATGGTAGGGGGTAATGAGCGAGAAACAGCAAGAGATTAGATCACAAGACATCACTGATTATTTAAACCAACATGTGACTTGGGAGTGTCAAAATTTCTTGGTATCATTTTGTGACAAATGAATCATTTTTAATAGTCTTATGTGAATTTTTTAATTAATTTAATTTTGTACAACAAATGCTAATATGTGCTCATTGTGATAAAGGTTATTGGATGCTACTTGCAATCAATTAATATAAAGGCATAAATTGGTACCTCAATCCTCATGGAGAGCAACCTAAAACATATCATGATAATATTCAATAATAAGTCAGTTAATTAATTTTTTATATGTATGTAAATTATTATTTCTATGCAGTCTTTCATATAAAATTTCATACTATCATGTAGGATTGTCCACGTGTTTTGAAGAGAAAAAAAAACTTTGCCTTCCATTCATAGAGCTCACAATTATGAGGATGTACTTGAATGAACAATACTATATTATGGTATATATTTATCCTAAATTTATTTTATCAAATTTAGTTTATTATATTATAACTAATTCTCTTTTTTGTTTGATCAAAAGAGTCCAAAACAATTTAACAAGACCACAGATTTTGGTTATAGCATCATGAGGTATATAAAAGACATAGTCAATCATGTGCCAAATGATGAAATATAACCGACCAAGTGTGTCTTTTATCTCTACATTATTAATGTTAATAATTTACATTCTATTACACATGTCACATACTTAAGTTTAATTTTTGTTATGTTTGGCCTAACGGTATTTTATAGATGCATCCGTAGAGGAATATGCTGTAGCTACATTGAAGACGTCCTCGATGAGTTGTCCCAAGATTTATTCAAGCAATGGGTAAAATATGCAAGCAGACAACCACTAGCTTGCTCAATTAATTTTGGTTCTTTATACTTAGGCAAAACATACTTACTTTGGTCAATTTTAGTTTTTGGTTAAATTTCTCCAATTCAACTTGTAAATGGGTTTTACTTGAAATTTTTCTTGTAACTACTGTATAGGCATTTTTTGACAATTTTAAATTACTTTTAAATAGATTTTAGATGTTATTATAAGGGAATAAAGTTGAATTTTAAAATATTGATTAATTATGCGCACAAATTTTAGTTTTTTTTTTTTGGGACTCTATTGTTGGATTGTTATTGTTGGGAATGTCTGTTTATTTGTTATTGCAGGGAGCAATTGCAGGGAGCTGCTAAAAATGCAATCCTCTATTTAAAAAAATAAATTACAAAGTGGTTATTTAAAAATAATCACTATATAATCAAATATATATATATATATATAATGGTTATATGATATAACCGCTATATAGATTAGTCTACGTAGTTGTTTTTTCTGTAAATAACTACTATATAGTTAGTTGGGCAAATTATAAAAAATAATCAAAACTGAGCCTAATTATATAATAGTTGTTTTGAAAAAAACCGTTATATAGTGTATTGAAAAAAGCTTGAGACCAATAACTGAAACAAATTATATGATGGTTATTTGTAAAAAATCACTACATAGATACCAACTATACAACAACAACAACAAGCCTTTATCCCACTAGGTGGGGTCGGCTACATGGATTGCAAGACGCCATTGTGCTCTATCATTTATTAAGCTTTTAGAAATATTATTAATTAAGAGATCACGTTCAACAACTTCTAAGAGTGTTCTCTTAGGCCTTTCTCTACCTCTCTTAATCGAACTCAAAGTTATATGTTCCACTCTTCTCACTGGTGCCTCCCTTGATCTTCTTTGTACATGCCCAAACCATCTCAACCGATTTTCTACCATTTTTTCCTCAATAGGTGCCACCCTCACTTTTTCACGTATGTGCTCATTTCGAATTTTATCTTTACGTGTATGTCCGCACATCCATCGTAACATTCTCATCTCTACTACTCTAACTTTATGCTCTTGCTGTCCCGTTAGAGCCCAGCATTCACTACTATATAACATTGCCAGTCTGATAGTAGTACGATAAAACTTTCCTTTAAGTTTATTAGGTACCTTACGGTCACAAATAACTCCTTTAGCTTTTCTCCAATTAAACCACCCAGCTTGAATTCTATGTGAAATATCTCCACTGATTTCGCCATCATTTTGAATAATGGCTCCCAAATATCTAAACTTTTCCACTTGAGGTATAATTTGATCTCCCAATTTCACTTCCAAATTATTTTCGAATAGTCCTTTACTAAATTTACAATATAAATATTCCGTCTTACTTCTACTCAGACGAAAACCTTTCGACTCCAATGTCCTCCTCCATAATTCAAGTTTGTAATTAACCTCTTCTCTTGTCTCTGCTATAAGAACTATATCATCCGCGAAGAGCATACATTTCAGAATTTCCTCTTGAATATGTTCCGTCAAAACATTTAAAATCAAGTTGAACAAATAAGGACTCAGAGATGATCCCTGATGTAGTCCAATCTTTATAGGAAAATCCTTTGTTTGACCACTAGGCGTTCTTATACTAGTTTTTACCCCCTCATATATATCTTGTATGGCTTTAATATAAGCAATCCGTACTTCCTTTTTTTCCAACGCTTTCCAAAGAACTTCTCTTGGTATACGGTCATAAGCTTTTTCCAAATCAATAAAAACCATGTGTAGATCTTTATCTTTACAACGATACTTTTCCATTAATCCCCTTAGTAGATAAATCGCCTCTGTAGTTGATCTACCTGGCATAAAACCAAATTGATTCTCAGAAATACTTGTCTCCAATCTCAACCTGTGCTCAATTACTTTCTCCCACAATTTCATTGTGTGGCTCATGAGTTTAATCCCTCTATAGTTAGTACAATTCTGAATATCTCCTTTATTTTTATAAATAGGAATTAATGTACTTCTCCTCCACTCATCAGGCATTTTCTTGGACCGTAAAATCACATTAAATAACTTAGTTAACCATCTCACCCCTTCTTCACCTAAACATTTCCACGCTTCGATAGATATACAATCAGGTCCGTTAGCTCTACCATTTGTCATTTTCTTAAGAGCTTCCTTTACCTCCTTATCACGTATTTTTCGATAGAATGACAAATTTTGTTCTCCTTCACCAGTTACTAAATCTTCCAAGTTACTAGATGAATCCTCTCCATCATTAAGAAGTTTAGAAAAATAAGTCTCCCATCTATTTTTAATTTCATCATCAGTAACTAAAATTCTTCCCTCTTCATTCTTAATACACCTTACCTGTTCTAGATCTCTTGATTTTCTTTCCCTATTCTTGGCAATCTTATAAATATTTTGCTCTCCTTCCTTCATCTCAAGGTTCTTATAAAATTCTTCAAAAGCTTTAGAACGAGCTTCACCCACAGCTCTCTTAGTTTCCTTCTTAGCCATACGATACCTCTCCCAATTTTCCTCATTGTTACACAAATGTATGGCTTTAAAACAGTTCTTCTTATACTTGATTTTGTCCTGTACACTATTATTCCACCACCAAGACTCCTTATCTCTCGGACCAGAACCTTTCGATTCTCCCAAAACTACTTTTGCAACCTCCCGTATCTTTTTAGCCATATCCTCCCATATGATGTTAGCACTTCCCTGAGAATCTCAAATTCCTTTATCCAAAAGATTTCGTTTGAAAATATCTTGCTTCTCACCTTTTAATTGCCACCACTTAATCCTTGGTGTTACTACTTGTCGACGTTTTTGAATTTTACTCATAATACACACATCAAGGACTAAGACCCTATGTTGTGTCGTTACAGTATCTCCGGGGATCACCTTACAATTTTTACAAAGTTTTCTATCTGTGTTCCTAACCAAAAGAAAATCAATCTGCGATCTTGAGGCTCCACTTTTGTAAGTGATGAGATGCTCATCTCTCTTCTTGAAACAAGTGTTGGCAATCTTAAAATCATACGCCAATGAGAAATCAAGAAGAGTTTGTCCTTCATTGTTTAGCTCTCCAAAACCAAAACTACCATGCACCCTCGCATACTGACCAGCTTCCCTCCCAACATGCCCATTAAAGTCTCCTCCAATAAAAATCTTTTCACTCTGTGGTATGTGTCGAATCAACCCCTCCAGATCCTCCCAAAATAATTCCTTAAGACTGGCTTCTGTCCCGACTTGCGGCGCATAAGCGCTAACAATATTAACAGTCTCACGTCCAATTATCATTTTTAAAGAAATAATTCTGTCTCCAATTCTGCTAACTTCTACAACGTTCTTCTTCTACTTCTTATCTATAATGATGCCTACTCCATTGCGTGCACTTACTTTTCTTGTATACCAAAGTTTGAAACCTTGAATATCCTTAGCTTCTTCTCCACGCCATTTTGTTTCTTGCAAGCAAAGGATATTGATTTCCTTTGAATCATAACCCCTACAACCTCTACAGATTTACAATTTAATATCCCAACATTCCAAGTACCAAATCTAATTTTGCTCTTATGGACTAACTTCTTTAGCCGCGTGCGTCTAGAATGACGCGGTAGCCCTTGCTCATTTAACACTACATCCGGGCGCCGATGCAGCGGCTCTAACTCACTTATCACTGTACTCGAGCCATGCAGCGCGTTACTTACGGGCAACGACCTAGTATTAACATTATAACGTCTATTGTCCATGTTCATGATAGATTCAACAAATTTTTACATTGGCTGTTGATGGCCTAACACAACCCTCCTCCTTTACTCGGGCTTGGGACCGACTATAAACATAGGTGGAGTTACATAGATACCAACTATAAAGTAATTAAAAACTGCTAGTATATAATTTTATTTAGATTATACAGCAATTAAAAACTGTTATATATTAACAAAAATAATCATTATATATACATTTTTTTGTAGCAGACAACCTGCTCCTGTAATAGAACTGTTCTAACGTCAGTAATTAATGGTCAATTAACTGTCAAGACTCCACAAGGAAAATGTAAGACTGAGACATGTGATACACCCTGTAACCGCCCTTAGTTATCTATCAACATTTTTTTCTTAATTTCAAATTACGTAAAAAGATTGAATAAAAAGAATTTCAATTTCATTATGTTTTGTTAAAGCAACGTTGATGGTATTTTCCTCCTTATTGCAAAGGGAACACACGAGAATGGGTATAATAACTGAAGAAATGTCTAGAGAAAACGAACAAAAACTAAAGGAAAGAACATGAGGTGGGATTGAACAAGGCGGCATTCAACCGCGTAAGGAGAATGAGGAAATCAATCTCTTTGAGTGTGTTGACAAAATAGTAAACGCTGGGTCATCGAATATAAATGATAGAATTGAAATGACGGCCCATAGAAGTGGATTAGTGGACGGAGGGGGTGAGTAATGAATATACATAGACACATATGTATAAGTTAATCTATGAACCCTCACTTATTGAGCCAGGCTTCAAAGCTTAAAAAGGCCTCACCCTTGAAATTTCTGCATAATTAAGCTCCCTCAAAATTTATTTTAATTGACTCATTAAGTGTCTTTCTTTATTGCTTCTGCCATTGCTGCATCATACGTGAGTAACTGAAGAAGCTCCCATTTCAATTTAATTATTTTTAGTGCAAAAACAAGATAAGAATCTGGTATTAAAGGGATCATTTTGCCACATTGTGATTGGATGTAGTGGATGACGCAGCGACGCCAGCAAATTAATACATATCCGCTGTAAAATTAATACAAATGGGTCGTCCGTGGGTGTTAATTATCAATTCAGAGAAAAATAAAATGACCCCAATGGAACATCAACCACCGACCTCAGTCACACGGGGCTGAGATTTTGGATTGGAGATATCAACATTCATTGATTAGTGAAACTGAAAGTATTAGGGAAAAGACGGTACGGAACAGTGTTCACAAAATACATCACCATGAAACTTAATTGCTGACACATGAAAAGAAGCAAATAAAAGAAAGAAAAAGAAACCAACGAATTGATTCCATTGTGCGATACAAGAATAATTCAGTTGGGGAAGTCAGGGTGGCGGGTAAACTTGTTGTTGAAGGAGTTCATCCAGCAAGTTGTTGTCCAGGTATTCGAACTCCACAGCACCGTCGGCGTCGGGTGGCGGGAGTCTGGAAGAATCACGAGAAGAAGAGGACAGGGGCAGAGGCAGTGATGAAGTAGGAGGATGAAGAGATTGATGCTCGTTGGGGAAATTGAGAATGGCTCGGTGACCCCTGAAATGAAAAGCGGCGGCATCGTAGGCCCTGGCAGCCTCCTCGGCGGTGTCGAAGGTCCCCAGCCAAATGCGAGTCCCCTTCCGGGTCGGGTCACGAATCTCTGCGGCGAACTTACCCCACGGTCTCCGCCGTATCCCCCGGTATCTTAGCTCTCCACTATTCTCCCTTCCGTTCTTATTCTCGCTCCCGGTCCCCTCTTCCATCAATAATTCTCTCCGACAAGTGATCAGCGATCGATCTCCGATGGATCCCTCTGTTTGACGTTAGCTTTGCCTGGGGGTAACACTGGGCGGGGGGGCACGTGATATGGTTATATAATTACACATGCGCCACCTTGACCAGACGAGGACGGTCGTATTCGACGGTTTGAATTTCAACTTGGAAACAATTGTATAATATTATTAGTTAACATGTGTTGAAGTGGGCCGCTGGTAAAGATTCGGGGATATGACAAAATAATGAAGAAAGATGGCTACATGTCTGACGACGGCGATACCCACTGCGCTGATCATATAGTGACCGGACCGGACCACGCAAGGACAAGGAGGCCTCATTACCGCAGGTGCGTTTAAGCATGCATCCAGTGTCTTGACGAAAAATGAAGGAATCAATCCTTTGGCTTATTGTTCAGTTCCCTGTAGATTCTAGAGCATGGTCTAGGTTGGGGAAAAATTCACACCTTCATTTCATGGTGATCGTGTATACAATATATCTCATCTAATCTATTGTAAAACTGGTGCATACATCGTAAACGTAACAAAATAATCTATCATAATTCAATAGCATTTCGTGTGTGGTATTCATGTAAATATTTAGTCGCCTTAAATTTATTTCAGGGGTAGAGAAAATGTAGCTTTTTATTGTAAAACAATTCTACTCAATATCACGTCGTGCATTTTGATGATGAAAATATGGGTTTACAGAGCCAGAAAAATACACAAGAAAATATCCCCTGGTTTATTCATTCAATTAATAATGCATTTGATTGAATCAATATTTATAAATACTAGTACACTGAAATGAAAGCTACTTATTATTGTTTATAAAATTATATAAATACAAATTCAAGATTCATATTCCGCGCAACACAATATTTGGTCATTGGTTTATAATTTGTGCATGGAATATTGGATGCTTGATTATTTCATCGTCAAAACTTGTTTATGCATGTGATTAGGACGGGGGATATATATTTTAGCTCTGCATATAATCATTTTTATTAATTAATGATAAAATAGCATAAACATATATAATTAATGTTTAGTTGAAATTATGAACTCATAATTATTTGAAAACAAAAATTAAACCTAAGACATAATGTTATTTCTAAACGATGAGAAAATTGTGTTGTGTAATAATGTCCCATTTAGTAGCATGAAATTGGGATTAGATAATTGGAAGTGAAATTAAAATTGTGAAAATAAATTATTTGTTGCAATGAATTTCATTTCTCTAAAGAATTTAATTCTATCAAAATTGATAGAATTCACTTTTACCTTTAGATTTATGGAACCCACTTCCTCCCTCATTTCCTTAGTAAAAAATGGCTCAAGACTATTTTACCCATCAATCTCTTTCATCCTTGAGGGCATCCCTTCCACCGTTCGCCCTCTGCATCTCTTTCACCAACACCATCTTCCTTAATAATGAAAGATGATGTAGCCATGGAAGTGCAGGAGAAGGTGGATTCATTCTAGAAGAGATTTGACTATCTTTGAAATATATTAAATATAATATTGATCTTTCTAAAGAAATTTATTTTGGCCACATATCTTTTTCAAAAATGCTTGATTAATTATTGAATTTGTTGGGTGATTTTGATGTTTTCGCGTTGATTCAGTTTTCAAGCACGAAGGCTATGGTTGTATTGATTTCTTGGGCTGGTTGAGGATGCTTTTACGGTTGAAGAGTTTCTTTGTTTTTTTTTTTTTTTGTTTTTGGTTTAGGGCATTTTAGTATTTTTATATTATAAATACATATTTCAATTAAAACTTATATCCTGCTTTTCAGTATATAGCAAACATATTTTAAAACTCCACTTCCATCTTATTTTGTCTTCATCTTTCATTTTTTATTCCACTCTCACTTTTATTAAAATCTCTTTCATCCTATTAAACGAGCTGTAATTAAATTATGACATTACTTATAAATAGTATGATTTTTTATATATGGATATTATATACTGTATGAATTTTCATTATATACAATGCATTCCGTCAACTTTTTTTAGCCATTATAAAGTAATTAAAAGTATCATATAATTTTATTAGAAGGGAATAAAAGATACCGTCTACACATTAGCTTCATTTTAAATTATAAAACATTCTTGAAGGTTAGACATCTTAAAATATACAATGCCTTGATAAAAATAAAGTTTTATTTAATTATATTCTCTTTTTTAATATTCTTAATAAATGAAGTATTAAATAAAAGATATTTTTAAATACATAAATATAAAATGGTATCTAGATATCTAAATGCTTTGTGTTCAAAGTGCATGAATTGGCTGTTCAATCCATCTAAAAATGAGTATATTATTTTTTGCTCTTATCTATAAATCATCTCATTTAATTTTTATCATAAATTTCTTCCTTTATCATCCACTAAATGTTGGAGAAAAAATATATTATTAAAGTATATACATTTAACAAGGATAATGTTGATAAATTATTAAATTTTTAGACAAATCTAATAAATTTTAAGATTTTTCTTACTTTGTGTGAAATATTTTTTCTGGTCTTATTCATGAGGCACATTTTAAAAGATTTATTTAGTCTCATTTATAAATCATAATGTGACTTTTTAGGTAATATTTAAAAAATATTTTTAAAATTATTATTCATGAAAATTTAAATCTATTATATAATAATATATTTAAAATATTACACATTTTTATTTTTTTATTTTGATATTGATAAAATTAATAAAAATAATTTTATGTTAGTAATTTATAAATAGAGTAAAAATAATTCATTGAAGTGCTGTACTAATTAATTAGCAGGTGACAGGCTGACGTCGCCCTACCATCATAAAGGTGTTGGATAATCATGACGAAATTTAAAGTTCAAACGCAACAATTTAGTAAGGGAATTAGGTGAGGAAATACAGCAGTCAGCTGATGGGGTCAGCAAAATATTTGTTTTTTTGTTGCTTTTCTTTTTTCCTGTTTAATTATTTATCAGAGTCTTCATTCTCCATCTGAATCTGATGTTGGTGACTGCTGATAACCAGGAAATTTTTTTTATCCAAACAATGTTTTCTTTTTTTTCCGCCCCGCATATATGCAAACAAATAAAGGTTCCCAAATGAAGTCCTATGGCCGAAACATCATAGGCCCACTCAATCTGACTCATTATTAATAGTTAAAATCTTGTAATATTCTTTTTTTTTTTATTTACTTTGCCCAGATTCTGCAGCCAGTGGCATCTACGACTAAGAAACCATGACTTCAAAATTCACGGCTCTCAAATACCTCAAATTTATAATTTTTTAAATGAAAACAGAGCTCCTGGAAGCTGCCAAAAGGTAAAAATAAAAAATTGCATTGCATTCCACTAGTCCCCACTTCATTCTTTAAAAGATATTTCCACCTGTCATTCACGGATTCCGTTAATAAGCTGCTCTATCACTTAATTTTGTTTTATTTTTTTTTAACCAAATCGCCCCTGTCTTACACGGACTCCTTTAGTAATATTTCGAACACTTGCTCAGCCAAATATATATATATATATATATATTTTGATTATTTTTTAAGTTCACAGGTATGTTTTTAAAAAGAATTTCTTAAATCTCAGTTCAATTTGACATTTTTAAGTTGGTTAATTTTTTTTGAATTAATAACTACTTTTAAACACATTTAATCGAATATTTTCGCACCGAATGATTTGAAACTCTGAGAAATATAATGTTAAATAAATTAAACATGGATTAATATGGAGAAAAATATTTAACCCCAAAAAATAAACCACCCACTAACCCTACTTTTGCCACCCACACTGGCCCACCTCCAAAAAAAAAAAAAAAACCCAGAGACATTTCGACATTATCCAATTTAATACTAATGACTAAGCAGGTAACGGAAATTAGTTTAGATACATTACAACTCCATTAATATAGCTCTTCAGATGTGTCGGAGACGATCGGAGAGGTGGACTCGCTGGCGGTTCTAAGAGCTAGCATCCTTGCAGGGCAATATGCGTGAGCGAAATTGAATTTATGAATTTCAAGGTGTAAGGATATTTAAAATTAATTTCGAATAAGTTCAAACTTCTAACTGTCAAAGGAAATGTTAGAATCTTTAACTAAATATTCGAATGGAGTCCGGACATAGGCCACAGTGTAGATTTTGAGAATAAATAGGAGGTTTTAATAAGGTTTGCAAAATCAAAGAGAGAGTTCATAGTACTTTCGTCGTCCTTAAATGAAGGGGCCGACGGAGAAGTTTGTCTCATTTTTAGAATAGGATCTCATGTTCATTTAGCTTTCCTAAATTATCATTGCGCACACTGAATTTTGAATTATCAAAGTGGCCTTGGGGGGGTGTTCGGTGATGGTTGAGACGGAAGAAAGAGGTAACATTTTGACTTTGGGAGCTTGACGAAGGGCATTTTGGTTTGAAAAGTTTCAATCCCAAAAATAAATACCTAATATCACCTTTTCTATAGGTGTGTCCAATCTCAAGCTCAAGTAACAATTAATTCATTGTACCAAGCATGATAAAAGTAGGCTGACCCAATTTTAAGGAAAATTGACAATTAAGGACTCCTTGACGTTATTAATTTTAATTAAGGATTATAAAATATTAAAATCTTAATTAAAGATAAAGTTTTTTACTTAAAAAAAAGCATACATAACTTTATAAAATTACTCTCAACTAAGTACTAAAATATATATAATATTATTAAAATCACTATTGTAAAATGAGAATATAATTAATGTTAATTAGCAAAATAAGGAATCACAAATAAATTATTTTTTAATATGAAAGAAATTCACTTTTAAAATATTTTAAGATCACTTATGAACGTATAAAGTAATTTAAGAATTTACTAATTTCATCATAAATACAAACCAAACAACTTGTTAAATTTTATGCTTGTTAATAGGGTTAATATCTAATTTAACTCTGAACTATATAGGTCCAGAGGCAATTTAAAACTATAAATTTTTAAAAAGTACATTTTAAACCTTAAACAATTAAAATTGAAACAATTGTGCTTCCATTGTTAAGCTTAAATAAACGTCTGTCAAATTAAGGCTTACTATGCAATTTTCACTAAATGAGGGTAGGAAAGAGACGAATAGTGAAATTTGGTGAAAATTACCCATTAAATCTAAATTTTTAAAAAAACCAATGAATATTTGTTAAAATTTCATAATATGGGTGAAATTCTCCCAATTTTAATTATTTAAGGTTCAAAATGAACTTAAATTTAGAGTTTAAATCACCCCAAAGCTATAGTTTAGGCTTTAAATTGCCTGTGAATCCATATTAATATATAGTTAGACCATTTGAAAAATAAAGAGATGATACTGCTCAAATCACTATCATGGCATAAAAATATTGTTAATGTCAATTGAAAAACAAGGAACCATATTTGGAAATAAATTGTTTTTCAATATGAAATAAACTTACATTCCAATGTCATTTTTGAATATACAAAAGTAACTTGAAAATTTACTAACTTCACTTTGTAATTTTTTCCTAAAGGGCATTTAAGACAATTCATATTTTTTTTAAAATTCCATGACCCTTAATTGAAATTTTAATATTTTATGGTCATCAATTAAAATTAATAACCTTAGGGGTCTTTAATTGTCATTTTTTTAATTTTAATTTCAATCCCAATTCCATCCTTTTAACACCATTAGTGATTTAATTGAAAATAAGTATAAGTATATTAAGTATATACATTTTTTCTCATCTTATTTCTTTTCTTTTCCTTTTTTTCTTGTTGGCTCCCAATCCTGAGAGGCTGAGACGTACGTGCCCAACAAATTTGAGAATATATGCACGTCAATTTTTTTGTTTATGTACGCCTATCTGATGTTGATGTTATTATTTTGGATTTGTACAGTATACTGTTGAGTTCAATTGTATAGAGCTACTCCGACGTGACTTTCTTCCTCTCATATATAAAGTCTGAATCCTTTATTTTACGTGATCAGATCTTATTACTGAGTCAGCTTCAGTGATCAATCATCAAATTCTAACGGCCAAACCCAAATTATCAGAATAATTCTTCTAAACGGCAATAGTTTTGTAAAGTCTTTTTTTTTTTTTGAATAGGCACTGCTACAAAAAAAAAACCTTTAATAATGCTTAAAATTTTAATTTCATGAAATTTATAAAACACTGCAAATTTTAAAATTATCTAAATTTTTAGGTGATGATTTATTAATTAATGGGATGTTCTATAAGATTGGAAGCAATAGTGGCGTTTCCTTCAAAAAACGCCACATATAATACCCTTTTTAAAACAAAAAAAAAAAAAAGAAAGGTGGAGTTCAGTTATTGGATAAATGTCGCCTCCCCCTGCAAAGAGAGGTAACGTTTCTTCATAAGATACGCCGCCTCCGTTTTCTTTTTTATTAAAAAAAATTAACAAGCTTTAATTTTTAATATATATAATCTTTAATATAGCTATCAATTTAAATATATAAATTTTTTTAGTAAATCAAACATTATAATAAATATATAATTTTATTTACACAATTAATATAAGTAAATAATCAATTTCAAATTATATAAAACTTCAACAAATTTAGCAAGATTATAAAATAAAAATTAAGGATAAATAAAAAACATAAATTACTGAGATATAATACATCAATAACAAACTAAATAGGCTCCATTAATTATGACATGAGAATGTTTCAGGACAGAGTAGTAAGTCTAACTTGCGGATTAGAAATGTGGTAATAAAGATTGGAATAAAATGGGAAAAATGGTAATTTATATAATAAAGGTAGAATAAAATGGGGGAAATTGCAACACCAAAGAAAAGCTAACTTGACTTGAGTCGTGTTCTTCAAAGCAACAAGCCATCACTTGGCATCCCACTACTATACCTGCAGAGCATATACAATTTTCACTTAGAAATTAATTTTAATGGTAGATGAACAAATTCAATATGCTGCAAGGGAGACATGAAAAATTCCCATCATGCATCCCCATACTCTTTATTTAGGGATTAAGGAGTAATAACTACAGTCATATATATAGTAAACACAAATGGTAATCAGTTGATTCGCGTGAGCTGTATATATGCGACTATGGGTGAGTAGATTTTTTTACTAACTAGAAAATTTCATTTATAAAGGAGCTTATAAAGGTATAAGGAAAACGTTGAAGTCATGCAAATAGCAAAAGGCCACAAGAAACGAACACGAATATACTTTTGTTTTCTTTTTATACTAAAATCTACAAATATGTTTTTATAATAAAAAGCTGCATTATACGTAATATTATTCCTTTTTCTTTCCTAAGGAAAGACAAATATATCACAGATAAACGATTACAAGACATAAAAGAGCCAAGGAAATCAAGAGTAAGATTTCCCAGGCCATACCAAAATCACACAAGTACATGAAACAAACGGAAAATGAAAAAACAAGACAATTAACAAACACTAACAAAAAGTAAATTGGAGGATCATAAGATCGATTTTGATTTAAATTCCAATACAGAGAACCCAAGAGAACCAGAAATCAAGGCATTTAAAAGTTGGAGCTGTGTGCAGATAATATTCCTGGCATTTAAAAGTTTACAGTCAACCCTCTTAATTTAATAGAAAATATATCACCTAATGACAGTTAAATATAAAAGTTAACTGTGCATTGATTCTATGATAATTCTGAATTTAAATAAAAGAATTTTAAATATACCGTCAACTTTGTCTAGCCACATCACAACCGTGGTTGTCATGGGATCATTCCCATTCGTGTTGCAACTTACTAATTTTAGATTGAGAGATGGATGTAAGACCAAGTTTTGATCAATTATCAGAAGCAGAAACGTGTGTGTCTGTATGAATGTGGTGAGTGAGGAAGTTTACTTTACCCCTCAAATACTTTGGCAAGAAATGGCATGAGCATTTCTAGGCTATGCTCTGCCTTATCAATGTTCATGTTCATCACTTGCTCTGATAGTTCTTCGGCTACACCAAAATAATCATTCCAAGTGCGATCCAGAGGACTTCAAAAATCGACTTGCAACATTTCATCCCAAAAAAGAAATCATTCCAGTCCAGCAAGACAGCTGAGAGAGCTTCAGAAGGCTTTATCCAGGGAAAAAATCCGTATTGTGTAATAAAAAACAAGGCAAGTCATTTGTCCAACGTAAAAATGCGCGCGCGCGCGCGCGCGCGTGTTGGTAGTTCAAAGATGAGAAATTAATCTCGCTTACACTAGTCTTTTCATAAGAAAGCTTCAACAGTACTTGAACCGTCTAATGGAAGATCCCCCTACTATAGGTAGCATGCAGAAGTTACAAGGCATCGCAGACTCAAAATTAAGGAAAATCTGAATTCGCTAGATTTATCCACAAGTCATATAGCATCAGAGTTCAGACCATGACTAAACAATTAAATTATTAAAATAGCAAGCAATACAAGCAATAATAAGAAAAGAAAACAAAGATCAACGTCACCTACGGAAGCGAACTCATGGCCTGGAAGAATACCCTCTATCTCCTTCAGCTGAATGAAACTTTACATTTTACACGGAAACATCTCATCAAACAAAACATCTTTACTTTTGATGCTCTATACAAGAAAAACTAAAGAACCTATTGAAAAATTGTTGCAAACTCAACAAAATTCAAGCTGTGAATTCATATTCCTAAAATATAAACAATAAACAAAAGCCTCAGCCACCAAATTTACTGTAGTTTGCAAGGCAAAGGGAGACAACAAACTCATGAAATTGTGACATGAAATAGAAGAGATAGAGGAAGTGAGGAACCCAGATCATTACTTAAAACGCGTATTCCGTCAGATCTTCAACCAGTTGGTACCGATGACAAGTTCAAATTTGGAGTAGAGGAAATACAAGGTCCCATTTACGCTTCAGAAAAGAAAATGAAGAAGAAAAGGCAGAGAGAGACTTACGGAGTAGCAGAGTCATCGTCGGTAGAGCGGGCAAGCAAAGAAGGTGAAGCTGGCAAGCTTCAACTCAGCAAAGAGGATGAGATAGAGAACGCCACAAAGACGTTTAATTTAGTGTGAAACGCCACCTATTATGAATTTTTTTTAAACGTAAGAACCATTTCCATGAAGCTTTTCAATTTATTTTAAATAAATTCCTTAAGTGGTAGCATTTTAAGAACCTCCATCTCTCTTAAACAGAAATTATAATAAAAAAAACTTAATAACCAAAAAAATGAAAAAAAGATATATATATATATATATATAATAATAATAAATAAAATCTCTTAGGTGGCGTTTATTGACCCTACAAACGCCACCTAAGTTGACTTAAATAATATTTTCTTTTAAAAAATAAAATTTTACGTAAAACATATAAATATAAGAAAAATGAATATTAAAATAATAATATATTAAAAACTCTAAGCTGGCGTCTTTTGACTATCCAAACGCCACCTAAGTGCATTTGAATAAAATATTCTTTTAAAAATAATATTTAAAATAAAATAAATGAGCAAATAATTAAAGCACCTTTATGTGGCGTTTCTTGAAACTGAAACGCCACCTAAGGATATTTTTAAAGTAATATTTAACATAAAATAAATATCCTAATGCTTGAAAAAATAAAAAATATATAAACATAAATATATTTCCAAAAGAAATAATTCTGAATTAAATATAGTCCAATTATTTTATTATTAATTAATAAAAAAAGTTATATAAATAATAAAAGTAAGTATAATAATAAAATAGAATATTTAATTTATAACAAAATAGAGAGGTGGCATTTTTAAATTCAAGAATCCCTAATCTGTGATTTTAATTGTTAAATAATAATTATAATAAATTATTAATACTAATTAAATAGTTATAATAAAATAATCATCTAAGTTAATAGAAAATGCAAAAATAATAATAAATTAGAGAGCTAGCATTTTTAAGCTCTTGAAATGTTACATCTCTACTTTTAATTATTAAATACTATTATATATTAATTATTAATAGTTATTAAATAATTGTAATAAAGTCTAATCTAATATGAAAAAATAAATTAATAATTTAATAACAAAGCAAAGAGGTGGTATTTTTAAATTTAAGAAACACCACCTATTTGATTTTAATTATTAAATAATATATATTATTTATTAAAGTAGAGAAGTGGCGTTTTTAAATTTAAAAAATGCCTCCTCTGTACTTTTATTAAATAATTATTATTAATTATTAATACTAATTAAATAATTATGCTTAAATAATTATTTAATTTAATAAAATAAAAATATTTAATTAATAATAAAGTAGAGGTGTGGTAATTACTAGTTTTAGAAATGCCACCACACTCCCTTTTATTATTAAATAATATTATATATTAGTTATTAGTATTTATTATAATAAATCTTAATTTAATATGATAAAATAAATTGTTAATATAATAACAAAGCAAGCCACCCCTTTGATTTTAATTATTAAAGAACATATATTAATTATTAAAATAGAAAAGTGGCATTCCTAAATTTAGGAAACACCACCTCTTTGTTTTTAATTATTTAATAATAATTATTATTAAAATTATAAATAAAAAATAATTTATAAGTGATAACATTTTAAATAAGAAACGCTGCGTAAGGTTTTTGACTTTAATTTTAATAATGTTTTACTTTTTTATAATTACAAAATGTATATTATTAAATTTTCTTTTTATAGTAGTAAGAGAATAGATTGGCAGAATAACTTGACAGAGTAGAAATTTGAAGGAACGACGATGCATTAATACTTGGCGCATGCATGCTCCGCCCCTTGCTCTCGTAATTCAAGACAGGTGAAATTATTCAACAAAGAATCACGTAGTCTGACGTCACCTTCACACATGTCTTGTACTTTGTCTTTGAATGTGAAATAAAAGCCAGACGATCTGATTGACCAACTCAAATTCTTGTCGTCCCGCACACATAAAAAAGAAAGAAAGAAAAATGGCCGCATCGAATGAAGTAAATTGTCAAATATCTGCCCAGTTGCAGAGGGTGCATGCATTGCCCTACCCCCTTTTTAAATAAATAAATAAAATTAAAACCCATTACGTTATTATTGTTGGTCAAGTTGTTCATACTTTAATCCCTGCTTTGTCTTAATGCTTTCCCTTTCAGAATATAATAATTCGTTCAAAGCTTTTTGCGTTCTCCTTTCTCATCTTCAATTATTGCAATGCCACTACCCCTTTCATAGATTTCTTTTTAAAAGTTATTAATATACATAACGACACTTGATCGGTCCGTGGAAGCTGAAATAATGGTCCGAGGACCTTGTTAATAAGATTGGGGCTTTGTCGTAAAAAAAAAAATAATAAATAAAATTGGAGCTTTGTTTTGAAGTTTAATTAATTGTGTTTGCATGCTGCCTATAATATTTGTCATATATTAATGCAAGAACCCTGCCTATGAGAACTTGAAGACATATTCTGAGGGCCTGATAGGCGGTATTCAAGCATTAGAACTGAATCCGTGGAAGGCTATTATTGACTGGTTTTTGAAATGGTCTTTATTTTTAACTTAGCCAGCTGTACAGAGTAAGTGCAACGTAAAAGAAAATAGAAATGGGAAAGCTTTCTTTTTATGAATATTATTTCGTTATCAATTAAACATGTACCAATCACAGCATCCTATAAAAGAATTTGGGCACGTACGCCTGATGCATCACTACCATATATATTCCGGGCGATCGAGAAAAAAAGATTACATGGTTACACACACCTTCTTTTGGAATTCAAAGAAAAATTGATCGGATACAAACATATACAAGTTGTAACTAATTATTCTTTGAAGATGGGGATGCGTTTACGTACATATATTTTAATTTACTCTGGTAGGTGATCAGTGATTAGTCCTCATCGTCGTGATGAATTGAAGACGATTGCAACTTTAACAATTACACATTAACAAAAGGAAGTTTTCTTTTGTGTGTGTGTGGAGAAATTGGACTTTCCGTTTCGTCATTCAACATTCTTTGAAAGTCACAGTAGCAATATCGGTTGTTCCCCCATTTGTTTTGATGTCAGCAGTTCTTAATATGGATATGTACTGCGGTTAAGAGAACGATTAATTAAGATTGTTCTGGGCAAGAAACTCAATCAGACCACGTCGTTTTCCTCTTTGTATTTCCATGTGTTGGCACTGTAAATGTCACTAAAAAATGATATTTAATTTGGAAAACACATAATAATTATACGATTGATATGAAAAATTAGAATGAATAATAATGTGCAACCATAATTTAGAAAAAACAACAATGAGTAAAAAAGAATTGATTCTAGGAGGTTAACGGATTACATGTAAAACAATGAGAAGGGCGGTCAAGAGTGTGATGGCAGGGCTCGCGAATGATTCCACAGAAGTGCAAGTTTTGTGTCCGTTTGGAGCTGCCCACGTTGCTACAATGTTTGACTCACGTGCGAATTAATCGAGACGATAGATACCCTTCCATATTTAATTACTTTCTATATCTAATCCTAACGATAACGGGACTGATCACCCAGCCCTCGTGTCCTTCCTATTTTAGCCCATCGATAATGACACGAAACTAAACACATCCTCCCTCGCCAATAATCTCGAATTCTCTTCCTCCTTCCTTTCTTTTTCTATTTAATTAATAAATCACGGGTTTCTAAGTTGAATGATATTTTCCTCGTTTTGGGAGTGATCGGTACAAAAGGAAGCGAGTGGGGCGTGTGGTCGTTCAAAGCCAGCCAGCAACATGGATTTCTTCCTTCATCGGTTCCAAAATCAAGAGCCATCCCCTGCAAATTCCAATTCCTCTGTTTCTGAACAAGCATTCAGCTGGGAAGACTTCTTCACCTTCAACTCCAGTGACCACTCATCCTCTCAATACAGTTCTGTGGGAGCAATTGAATCGCAAGAAGTCTCCTCACAAGTGGAAGTGGCCGATACTAATAATGCATCCTCATCGCCGACATCAAAACAACATCAGGGTGGTGGCAGCAGCAGTAAGAAAGACAAGAGGCCGTACAGGGGAGTGAGGAGGAGGCCGTGGGGGAAATTCGCGGCGGAGATAAGGGACTCCACGAGAAACGGGGTGAGAGTGTGGATCGGAACGTTCGATACGGCGGAGGCGGCGGCCCTGGCGTACGACCAGGCAGCTTTTTGCATGAAGGGGTCGCTGGCGGTGCTGAATTTCCCGGAGCAGGTGGTGAGGGAATCGCTGGAAAGGATGGCGAGCAAGCCATGGGAGGAAGGTTCGTCGCCTGTGTTGGCCCTCAAGAGAAAGCACAGCCTGAGACCCAGGTCGTCGTCGTCGTCGTCGTCGTCGTCGTCGTCTTTGTCCAATCCTAAAAAGCCCAGGAACAGTAACAGCTCCTGCTGCAGGGACGGCCATGCTTCCGAGAACGTGCTTGTCTTGGAGGATTTGGGGGCTGAATATTTGGACCATCTCTTGAGCTTGACCTCTCCCGAGTTTGTTTCCTAGCGCACGGTTCGTTTTGTCCTTCTCATTCAATCCTTTCATCGCCTCTTGTTCGTCTCCTATCTCTCCTCTCCACCCAGGCACAATGGGTCCAATCGTCCCAAGCATATTGCCATATTTTTGTCAATAAAAACTAAAATGCAAGTCCTTGTTTCTCCCCATATTTTACTTTTTGTATATTATTCGTAGCTGAAGAAGAATAATATAACCGCACAGCCAATCACGTCAACCAAAACTCCCCCTCTCCCTTTCTTGGCATCGAAAGGGAAATCCACGAGGCTAACAATAACAGCACAACTTTTGAGACAAATACATCTGCCAATAATTAAATAACACAACTCCCATGAGAAATGCATCGTGAAATGTCATGGTCGATAAGAACATACAGTCCATTGGGAGGGGCTTGCGCAATTTAAAGGATATCCCGCAATCATAATAATTAATTGAGAGAATCCTCGTTTGCAAAATTTATTCGCACCAAAGTTAATAACAAGTCTTATTTAAAAAAAATTAATTTATATTTTTATTTTAACAATAATGTATTTTGTATTAATCTTTATTTGTGAATAAATTTTTTGAGTGACCCTAATGTAATTCTCTTAATTAATTAAATTTCCTTTTTCAATTGTGCCATGGCTTTTTTTATTTTACTTTTGTGTGGTGAAATTGAAAACTATAAATTTGTGCATTGTGAAAACACTCTGAATTCTGTCCTTTTCTCAATCATCACCCTTTATCAAATTTATAATTTAAATAAATTTATTTAATAAAATAAAATTAATGATGATGATTGAGAATTGAAGAGAGAGGGAAAAAAAAGTGGGGACACCTAGGGCCTCTTTTGAAATTTGTTTTAAGAACAGTTTTCTATTCTCAAGAATAAAAAAATAAAAAAATCTGTTTGATAATGTGTTTTTAAAAAATATTTTAGAGAATAAAAAAATAAAATATTGTTCTGGAAAACAGAAAAATAAAAATAACTTTTAAGTGTTCTATAATTATTGTTCTAAAAAATAAGAGAGAATGAAAAAATACTTATTTTTATTATTTTTTTATTCTCAAAACATATTCTGTAGAATATTAATTTTTAAAATAATAAAATAAAAATAATTTCAAACGGCTACCACTCTCCGAAACTCACCGGGCAGAAATCACAATAATTCAAGCTTGCCAATTCATGTGTAAATCGGGAAACGTGAGTGACGTGTCGTTGTGTTACTCGAGTAATCCAACACTATTCTCCCCCCTGAATCATGCCATGTCCTAAGACGCCCATATAAGATGAGGCCTGACTCTGAAGTGTAGGAAAGTGAGGGATTCTGGTGATGCCCCGTGAATGACACGATATTGGTGGAGGCCCGTTGAGGAGCCTTTTTTTTTTATTTTGTTTTTTTCCTCTCTTTTGGTGAGGGAGTTTGGTTGGGTTTTCATTTTTTTGTTTTGTTTTACCTGTAATTTCATCCTATCCACTTTTCAGGGGACATTACGTCGGAGGCCAATTTTTTCCTGATGACCAAGGGGCTTTCCAGTTTCAGTTGCCACCACCACTGAACGTATCGAAATGACATGGCACTGTCTTTCAAATGGTTCTTCACCCTATTTCAATTTTCAACACTAGATTAGTAGGATTATATAATCTTTTCAGTATATCAAATTTGTATTTCATATTTCTTCCATCTCACATTATATAATATTTTAAAAAAATTAACATTTCAAAATATAAAATATTTTTTTAAAAATAAAATTTTATTAATGATACTTTTTAATATTAACATTCATATATATTCTCTCTCTTTAATATTCTTTTATAAATAAAATATTAAATAAAAAATATTTTTAAAAATTTATATTTTTGTTTTGTAAGAGTAAAATTATAAATATATTTAATAAATTTTATTAATATGTGTGATTTTATTTAAAAAATTTTTATAATTTTAGATGAAAAAAATAATTTTTTACCAAAAATCAGAAGGTATATCAAATAAATTATGTCCAGGTAACAAGAGGTCAGAAAGAGACAAGTGGAGACGTCAACACGGATTGAATCTTTACTTCCCAAGCTATCCAATATTAACCCAATCCATAAACTTGCGTCCAACATTTTTATGAGAAATAAATAATTAATTTTTTGCTAGAAATTAAAATAAATAATTGTTCACACAAATCAGGAAATACAATTAAGATTAATAAAGATATTAGATTTTTTAATGCTCTTGTTGATAGTAGTATATCCGACATAGTGATGGTGTATTTAATGGTGTAAACTTGATTGTGCTAGTTTAATTAATGAATGTGAAAAGGGAAAATTTTAATAAACGTATATGGTGCAATAAAAAGATTCGCATTTAATATGCGATCCTTTCACATCTCACGTACGTTTCGTTTCAAGTTTGTTATGACTTCCGTTCCGAGTTCCGAGTCCAGCACGCCCCTTGTTTGTTTTGCTCTCCCTCCCCCTCCTCTTGTTCTCAAATATATATATATATATATATATATGGATAATAATGATAATGATGGTCCACATTAGTGATCTAATCGCAATGTTAAAGGGTTTAAAAGAAGCTAAGCACCAGCCCACGAACCCCATGGCGTGCCAGGGTTCCATTTCCATATTTCGTGATGAAGGCATTTTGATCAGCTAAACAAGCAAGAGTTGGGAAATCTAATGAAGATGCACTCTACACTAACACCTTCACGAAAATCACGTCATGTGGCGCACCGCAGGGTATATATAGCACATCAAGGTTTGTGATTTTTAAGCTATCTATATATATATATTTATGATGTGCGCCTGTCTATATACTTTCCATCACTTCACAAAATATAAGTTTATATATAGCACGGCAAAAGTTTGTGCTTTTTAACCTTCCTCCGTGTTCTACTTCTATTTGAAAGGGATGGCTTATCGGCGTTGGAACTTTTTATTTGTACTGATTAATGCCAATATATGTGTATAGCAAAAATAAAATGATAAAAATACTCAGTGAATGGAACAAAAATAGCCAATTAGATGAGGGAAGGTGGACCTGGCAATTGCCAGCTGGTGGTCCACCCGAATCTACTCCTCATGCGGCTTTGCGTTAGCATCACGTATATTACACACACGAACATCTCTTTTCGCACATGAGCTCTCGAATCTTCATTTTGAAGCCAACAATAACACCTTCTCTCTCCGTGTGTAGTCTCGTCCACCGAAGTCACTCGGTCTCCTGATGATGATAGTTTATGCTCGAGATTTTTTAAGGTCATTGATCTGCCTTCCTCATTCACTACATGCCCAGCTGGGAATTCCCATTCATCACTCATTTATATCTCAAAGGAAACCATACCATGCTGCGCCTTCAAACGACAACGCGCTCCCAAACTTCTAAGTTCAAATTAAGCACTCAAATCGATCCGAATCTTCCGTCGTTGGAGGCCACGTACGTGCGCACATAATGGGTTCTCTCGATTCTTCCTCCAAGGATTCAATGAGTGATCTACGTCACTTAAACTAAGTATTCCAATTATAGTCATTATATTTCATCCATATTTAAAAATTATTAAAATATATCTTTTTAAAAAAAATTCAAAACAAATATCATAATTAGAATACTTACAAACTACCAAATATTTGGTAGCTTGTCCAAAAATTTAAAACAATTATATGACAGAATCTTAAACCGTCTTTCAATGAAATTAAATGATAATGTGTCACATGAGACACTTATTCAATGAATATATATAACCACTCACTGAATCGGCTAAATCTTTTATTCTTATTATAAGATATTGTGATGAGTACAAGTCTAACGGGAGAATATATCCTAAAAGATTAACCTATTATGAGGGAGAACTCTTTAAATTTATAAGCCCCATATCACTTGTGAGACTTCTCGATGTGAGACTTGTGATAATATCACCTCATCAAGAGGTGATGTCCTTAGCGACTTCACTCTATGACACTTCACTCGACCTTTGGCCAATCAAAACCTTCTATGAGTAGTTCTCTCTATGACATCAGCCTCTTAATAAAAGTACCGATGTGATGAGCACAAACTCAAAGGGAGAATTACTTATCCCAAAAGATTAATCTATTAGAAGGAAGAGCCCTTTAAACTTATAAACTCCACACTACTTGAGGTTTCCTGAGATGTGATTCGTGACAGATACTAGAATTAAAGAGAAATTATTCAATTATTAATTTTGTCTAAAAATAATAAATAAATTTTTATCTATATTTAAATAAAAATGTTTAAAATTTGCCTTAATTAACTTATTAGTTAATGACTTTAAATATGAATAACATTGAACAAAATTAATTAATTTTATATCAAGTCACTTATAATAAGGATTATTTATATCTTATAGAAAATGTCTTACAGTAAAAATAGGAGGGATTATGGTGTGGGCAATCGATGGTTGCTCTCTTACTGGAGGGACGCATGATGATCTCTGGGATTTTGGTTTTTAACTTGTCAAGAGTTAGTCAAATTAATTTTATAAAAACTAGTCATTATAACATGATTTGTATTTGAATATATTTTTGAAAAATCAGTTTAATTAACTAAAAGTCTAAAAGTTATTTTGGAAACAACTCAAATTAGCTTTTGTAATTAAAAAGTAATTTAAAATTGTTCAAAAATAAAAGTAGCTCTTAAAAAGTAACATATTTGCTCTTGGCAAATTGAGTTTGCTCAAAAAAAAAAAAAGAGCTTTTGGCAAATTGAGTTTTAGAAGCAGTGGAAGTAGACTTCCTAAAACAAAAAAAGATTACCCAACCAGCTTCTGTCAAGTGATAATTTTTCAAAAGGATATTTGACAGTCAAAAAGGTTGAACGCAATCACACATGCCCTACCTGCCTGTTTGGATAGAGTAGCTAATCAATTTTGAGGTAGAATAATCAATTTTAATAGAATTTATCCAAACAGCCAATATTTTGAGCTAAAAATCATTTTTTTGATTAAGCTGCCCCCAAGAGCTTCTTTGAATCAATTTTTACCATTAGAACCAATATTACCCTCTCTCAGATTCTCATTTTTGGCCTCTCCTGTCACGGTATCTTATGCCTTCCTGTGCCATGTCTCTGCATTCTCAAATTTGCCATTCCAGCTCCGCTATGTCGTCGAGGGTTGGTGGTTGTGGTGGTGGTGAAATGGGTTTTGCAGCGGAGAGAGCTGTGGTTGTGGTGGTGGAGGAAACTAGCGGTGGCGGAGAAGGAGGAGGAGTGAGGTCTGCATTGGAGAGATAGAGAAGATTGTCGATGGAAAAGGAGTTCAAATACATATCCATTGACGATCGTCCGAAGAAGAGATCTGAGAGGATGTGTGGCGCGAGTCTGGCTCCTTTGTGTGGCATTCTCACATCTTAAAGCACTGAGAAGAAGAGAGGAGGCGTGGAAGGTTTTAAATTAATAACGCAAATGACCATGGGATGGGGATGAGAGCACGTGCAAGGAGAGAGAGTGAATGTTAATATTAATATGATTTTCTGGCCAAAAAAATATTAATATAATTTAAATTTTTATAATTAATCAAATATATAAATTAAACAATATATTTTATTTCTTAAATAAATTTTAAAAAATTTAATAATATTATATACAATTTTATTAATAATTTAATTTAAAAAACAATATCTTTTATGATAATTTGTATTGCTAAAATTGATTTTGACTAAATCATCCAAACATTTTTAATTTTGTTAAAATAAATTTTTAAAAAATAATATTCAAACAGATTACATTTTTACATAATTATATATAATTATAATTAATTATATTAATTAATTATATTCAATTGAAATTCAAACAAGTTCGCTGTATAATTTCACAAAAGATAGGAACATAAAAGGGTAATGAAAGTAGAGTCATGGAACCATATAATGAGGATGAATATAAGTTTGATTGTTCATTTTTTTTGAAAAAAAGTTAGATTCAATGAAATGTAAAATTTATTTATTTTTTGAATAAAGATTCAATCAATGCAATGTATAATTTGATGCATGTGTAGTTTAAACAAGAAAGAACATTGTCATCAAAGGCGGATGACACGAACGCCGGGAAGAACTAAAAAGGGTGCAATTGAAGCGCGGCCGTAGAAGTCTCCATTATACTTCTACCGTTCTACGTACGTCCCTCGACCGTTTCATTATAATAATAATTTAAATTACTCCAACTCAAAACGGTCCCCAAAATTGATTTATAGAAATTAAATAAAACTGAATACACAGTCCGTGACGATGTGTATAAACATAACACAAAAGGTATTGAATTTACTTTAAAAAAAAAAATAGGATCGATCGATGTCATGAATGGCAGATATATTTATTACATTTTGATATAAGTATGCAAATATTCATTACAGTGTGGGCAGATATTTGAACCTCAAGAAAAACCAAATTCCCTTTCATTCAACTAAATGATACGAAGAAGGAACGCAGAGGATGGTTCAAAGCAGGCATGGCTCTGGAACACACGGGTGATAAAGGGAGAGGGAGTGAATACTGAAGAGTGACAGAGAAGACGAACAAGTGTGAGCAGGAAGGAGAGGGAAGCGACGTCGTAAAGGAAGGATTGACTGGGGCGAAGAGGGTGGCGAAAATGGTGGGAGTATATGCCCGTGGAATATCTGAAGAGCTGTTCCTTAGAATGTGTTATATGGTTCTCTATAAATCCATCCCCTTTCTTCTCGCTTCTTTTCGCACACCACTTGTTATTCTCCTCTTCCTTCCCTCTATACTTCACTCCTTTCACACTCTCTCCTTTCTCCATTTCCTCCCACTCATCACAGGTACGTTCCTCCACTTCCTTCTTCTCACTCCATTTCTTTAATTTTCTCTTTACATTCTCCCCCATGCATGCCCTCTTCTCTTTCACATTTCATCATACGCCAACCATTACATGTTTTCCTTGCATTCTACATATTCGTCTCCACGTCCCCATATCTGTTCTGTTTTTAACAAAGAGTTTAGTAACTCGCTGTTTTTTGGAAACTTTGATTAGTTTTGTCATGATTTTTCATTTGGGTTTCCTTTCTGGGTAGGGTTGTTTCCTTTTTACTTATCAACCGCAACGCGTTCTTTCTTCCATTAAAAACCGCTCTCATTATGTTCTGAAACTAGAAGTGCCTTGGATCATGGCATTTTCTTACCGTTAATCTAATCATGAATTTCGGATCTTTTTTCCCCCCGTGGCGTTGACCTCAGTGATCCATGGATCACAGGTATAACAAAATGCCAACATGGTGTGCATGTCTGTTGATAATGGAATCTTCGCTTCCCATTAGTGTCGGTTGAGCCGCAAATACTTATCAAGAAACTCATGATTATGCAGAGAAAGGAACTCGTGACTAGGGCTGCCGCTCATGGCCGGGGATCAGGCACAAGTGCTGAATGCACTGGATGTTGCGAAAACACAATGGTATCATTTTACGGCCATCATCGTGGCTGGAATGGGCTTCTTCACGGACGCATATGATTTGTTCAGCATATCCCTGGTCACCAAGTTACTCGGCCGCGTATACTACTACGTGGAAGGTTCACCGAAACCCGGTACTTTGCCTCCTAATGTGGCGGCCGCCGTTAACGGCGTCGCGTTCTGCGGAACCATCTCCGGTCAGCTCTTCTTTGGGTGGCTGGGTGACAAATTGGGGCGCAAGAAAGTGTACGGCATGACTCTCTTGACGATGATCATATGCTCTCTTTGTTCGGGCCTCTCTTTTGGACACACGTCAAAATCGGTGATGGTCACTCTCTGCTTCTTCCGATTCTGGCTTGGTTTTGGTATTGGCGGAGACTACCCTCTTTCTGCTACCATCATGTCAGAGTATTCGAGCAAGAAGACTCGGGGTGCCTTCATTTCTGCTGTCTTTGCGATGCAGGGTTTTGGAATTCTGGCTGCTGGTATCCTCGCAATCATCTTGTCTGGTGCGTTCAAGTCGAATTTTCCAGCTCCAACTTACGAGGTTGATCCAGCAGGTTCAACTGTTCTACAGGCAGATTTTGTATGGAGGATGATGTTGATGGCGGGAGCGGTGCCTGCTGTTTTGACTTTTTACTCGAGAATCAAGATGCCGGAGACTGCTCGTTACACTGCGCTCGTCGCCAAGAATGCCGAGCGAGCTGCAGCTGACATGGCTAAAGTTCTCCAGGTGGAAATTGCATCGGAGCCTAAGGTGGAGGAGCCTAACAGGGTTAAACCGTATGGGATGTTCTCCAAGGAATTTCTGAGTCGTCATGGGCTCCACTTGCTGGGAACTACAAGCTCATGGTTCTTGCTTGACATTGCATATTACAGCCAAAATCTGTTCCAGAAAGATATATTCAGCGCTGTTGGTTGGATTCCTCCAGCCAAGACCATGAATGCCCTGGAGGAGATGTTCTTTATCGCAAAGGCTCAAACACTGATTGCTCTCTGCGGTTCTGTTCCGGGGTACTGGTTTACGGTGGCCTTCATTGATAGAATAGGAAGATTTTGGATTCAACTGGGCGGGTTCTTCTTCATGACTCTGTTTATGTTTGCTCTTGCCATTCCTTACGACCACTGGACTCACGGGGAAATAGAATAGGGTTTGTGGTGATGTATTCCCTCACCTTCTTCTTTGCCAATTTTGGGCCTAATTCTACCACATTTGTGGTACCGGCAGAGGTTTTCCCGGCTAGATTCCGATCTACTTGCCACGGGATATCGTCGGCGTCGGGAAAATTGGGAGCTATTGTGGGTGCATTTGGGTTCTTGTATTTGGCACAGAGCAAGGACCCAAGCAAGACAGACGCAGGGTACCCTCCGGGGATTGGAGTGAAGAATTCGCTTATTGCGTTGGGCGTCGTTAGCGTGTTGGGATTCTTCTGTACTTTCTTGGTGCCTGAGACGAGGGGAAGATCTTTGGAGGAAATATCTGGTGAGAATCAAGAACTAGAAGGAAGTTGATCAACGTAGAGTGCTGCTAGCGCCCAGAGGAGTCTTGTTAGTTGTCATTTTGATCAAGCTTTCTCCTCCTTTTTTCGCCTGCCTATCTGTAGCTTTTTTTTTTTTTAATACAATATCACAATGTAACTTTAGTCTCAGAGATTAATTAATAAACATTTTTCCCATTACTGTTCTGTTCCCACGTTTTCTCTCACAATTTTTTTTCGTTCTCTGCAAATCCGCTGCGTTAGAATGTTTGAATCCAAGTGAGGATAAGAACAGCAAATTTTTTTCTAATAGAACCACTAATCCTGACACGTGCTACATTTTGCGTGACGTTAAATATTGATGCCACTCAGTTATTCACACAAACTCCCACCTCATCTTGCCACTAAAGCTATTTATTCATAGATCCCATTTTCACCCAGATTTTCCTAATACCCTTGACTTGAACGTTTTAGAAGACGACATAATTGCTGCTGCAACAAATTTTATTTGTTTGAGACCGCATGCCTAGCCTAAGGGCTAAGAATTGATCAAAGGGAAGAAAATTAAGTTGAAACCACTACATTTTTTTTTTTTTATCACCAAACATGGTGCACCCCGAGTAAAGACACTTCAGTATCATTTCAAGACTCCCGCATGGAAAAATAACTCAACGGCACATTCGCATTTTCTGCCTTTTTATTCCATTACTGATCTCAAAAGGACACGTAATTGGGTTTTGTGGACCCAATGCCACTACATTCGTTGTCCCAGCTGAAGGTTTCCTCACAAGATTACAGTCCACAGAGCTTGTTCAGTTTCATAGCAGCTAAAAGCTATGGTGCCTGACTTTGGGGTTCTCCTACAGCATCATTAGCGTTTAAGAATCAATTCATCGTTCAGGGATTTTGAATTGGACAAATTTAGATCCAAGAAGGATTTTTGGGCTCTACCTTTTCTTATTTGATTCATCATTGTAAAAATATCTCGAGTTCCAACGACCATATAGAGACTACAGCCCACAGTCTTTTTTATCTCCAGTATTCTCTTAGCTATTCCAAGCACTGATCTCGAGCAATTACTCAAGACCCCTTCCATTATTTCTTAACTAGAAGCATTAAATTCCTTTTCCCTCTTTAAAGGGTTTCTACATAAAGTTAAAACGAGCCATATTCTTTTTACTTTGATATAAGTCGTATGACAGATGCTGTGCCCTGCAGACACCTAGCCGGTGCAAGAGCTCAGCACATGTTTGTCTGATTGCTCGCAATGTACAGATGCCACGCTTATATACTCCATTGAGAGTTACCACGGCATCTCTTTGCTTCAAAACCTTAGTTAGGCTTCCATAAGCATCTACTGATGAGGCAAATAAAATTTAGATTTCTCCTTCTTTTTTCACTAGTATATGGTGTAACAACCATACTTCCATAATATAAGGCATATTAGGTTTTTCAATGTTGAGTTCACAGAGAACCGTCAAGCAAACTGAAATTTGTAGCAACAACTGACACAAGCCCAGTTTATAAGCCGTTAGGTTCATATCTAAAGATAATCATATCTCCGGGGCCATATGGGCTATATATATGCTTTACGCATGACAAAGCACGGAAAGTAACTCATTGTAACAAGTAGCCCAGAAAACAGAAATTTCAATTTGCACGTTCTCTGAGCACTTCGAGATCCATTTCTGTCGGGTCAGTAGCCTGGATTTCATAGTGGACACCATCTAATTCACGTCTAAACCTGTCTTTAGATGTGGCATACAGCATCTTGGAACGGATTCGAGAGGTTGAAGGGGACCTGACAAAAAAAAAAAATATATATATATATATATATATATCATATAATCCATCACTAAGGATTATATCTCAATGGCATATTCATGGAAAGGCACTTGCAATGACAAGTATAACAGGACGGGCGACCAACCCTGGTGAGATATGCAAATGATAACTGAAATAAACGATGTAGCAAAATGTAGCAAAGTATCGGGGGTACATAATAAATACTATGCAGACATTATAGGCAAGTATTGGTCAGAACAGCCTTCCTTGCTATTCCCAGAACAAATAGGTGGAAACATTTAAAACCCTATACTTGATTCATAGGTATCTGACTCAAACCATAAAATATCTCACTCAAGTTTCTTGGTACGCAACAGCACACATTCCAACTAACAGCGATGTCTCCAAATTAGGTTGTGCAAAGGCCTCAAGTCCCTAGAACTAACTAGCCATGAAGAAGTGTCCAAATTAAGGGGGATTTTGTAGCTGCAGTAGTTACTAGTTATACTAAAAATGATAAAAATACACAAATTCTGACTACTTGAAATTTGATCTTTCAGCTAAAACAATGAACCGGAAACCTTAGAAGCACTAATAAATTGTATAAAGAAGAAACACTCAAGTCACTCTAAGACGGACAAGGGATTGAGTGAAGTTTTAATTAATAATAAGAGAGCTGATTATTTAAGCATGTAGATTAGATGCATCATGCATGCATGGCTTCATCTAAGACTATCTTTTATAATCACGGGCACTGGTAGCAAGTCAACAGCCCTATCTGAAATTTATATGGTTGAGTTCACGCCTAAAATGCAGAAGATAATGATCCTGAACAAATCGATGTCTGACAACAGCAAATAAAATGAAATGGAAAATTTTGGCTTCAGAGATCAGAATTGGGGGGAAAACTCAAGTATACTGATATAGGAAGTCGTAACTGAAGTCGTAACTTCAAAAAAACAGTATCAAATCAATAATAATATATTTTGCCCTAGAACATGAAACTGATAGATATATGGCATCATAAATAAATATAATCAGAAAACTTGCAAAGAATGCCACTAAACATATATTGACATAGCATGGCAAGCAAGTTCATCCTGCAGAGCACAAAATATCACAGGCAGTATGTCATGTGCTGCGCGAAAATAGCTTCTTGCACAGGGAAATGCATATTAGATCAAGTGTTAGTGGCTGTTTCTCCCTAATTTCAGTAATTAATTGTGCAGTCTGCGTTGGTCATAGAAAATTACAGCTTTCTAAAGGAAAGACAGAAAGAGAGAGGTACGGGATAAACTAACCATGCAATGAAGAATATTTTACTCTTTTGGCAGTTTTCTGAAGTCACAAAATCAAAGTCATAAACAGCATATCTGCAATCATTCTCAGGCAAGGATGCGGTGAAATCATCATAGTTCTCAACTGGACTACCAGTCTTCTCGACAACAACCTCTCTTTTCTTTTCATCAACCTTAAAGATCACATATCGATATACCTTCTTTCGCTTCAATTCCATAAAGGTGTTTTTGCTGTGATCAGCAACACCCATGCCCGATGAAGCATTTGACTGAAAGCAAGATGAATGTGTTATGACTATAGGTGACAGGTTGATTTGTAGTAACGCAACAAAACCAAAGTTTTATGAGAAGCTGCGAGAACTGTCTACTTATGATGGGATGTAATAAATTAATAACAATCAAGGAGGCAATTGTCTAAACTACGTTAAAAAAGCAAGAAACCAAAATAATACTATCAAATGAAAGGTGAAAAGTAGGCTGCCACAAGACCCTGGCTTCTAAAAGTTAAGTTTCGAAGTAAAACGATTTATTGTTCCATCAAAATTCTCATATAAAGGAAACCGACGCGCAATATATAATCTTGTAGCCTTAAAAGAAATTAATAATCATGGGAAATCCACCTATTAATTCCTTGGGAAAGCTTAGAGTCATTGGAGAGTGAACAGGCTTAAAAATTGCAAATATCGCTGAAGAGAAAACCAAGTGATATCTCCAAAGACACGATTTGTCAGAATCAAACAATCAGTGAGTGCGACGAACTAATAAATAAATAAATAAATAAAAGAGTTGATATCTATACCCGACTGAATCCTCTGAAAGACATTGCTGGCAGCAAAAAATAACAGTAGCAAAAGCGACGATGACAATCACAAAACTTCGAGTTGAAGAAATACAAAGGAGAAGAAGAAAAATAGAACTTGGAGAGGTGAGGAAGCCCCCGCTAAATGACTAAAGATTATAAAGAGTCAAGGGAAGGTTTTAACTTCTATGAGAAAAAACAGAGAACGAATCCGGCAGATGGTTAAATGCAGCGGAACTAATCCTATGGGGGAAAAAAAAATCTAAAATACGTTTTATGCCCCAACATTAAAGAGAGGGACGGTGCGTCGTAGCAACGCAAAGCCAAGTTGGATGCAGTGGAATTGAGGGACGTTGACCCCGCAATTGATGTGGATCTCTGCTTTTTGTTGAGCGGGTAGGGACCATCAGCCTACACCTATCAGATACGGCCACGTCTATGCTGACGTTCTCTGTAAACGAATCTCCACCGTCCTCGGGCCCCATTCATCCCCCTATGACGAGCCCACAGCAGTGCTGCATCGTGCTTCGAGTTCCAGTCGCCGCGTATCTCAACATTTTCTTTCAACGATGCGCATATCTGACCATTCAGTAATAAAAATTAAAATTGTACTTCTTGGTTTTAGGTTTAGCACTCTATTGAAAAGAAAAAAATGTTTTTCAGTATCTTATTTTATAAATTATTTTTAATATATTTTATTAAAATTAAAAAAATATTTAATAAGTTTTCATATTTAACCACAATAGATATTCATAAATTTTATTATCAATATTTTTATTTAAAACATTTAATAAAAATAAAAATATAAAAAAATATTAAAAATTAACAAGTATTTTATAAATAAAATTAAATTTTTCTCCTTGTTTTGTAAATAAGACCAGAAGAATAATTAATTATTTCTATTGTCTAATGTCTATAAAGAAAATAAATTTTTTAATTTACTTTTTTTAGAGATACTCCCTCGGTTAAAAAATATAATATATTTTTTGAAGAGTTAGATGTTAAAAATGTAAAATATTTTTAATTTTTTAAAATGTAATTATTATTTTTTTTATAAAAGCGTCCCTATTGATAGTAATTTTATATTTATTGTAGAGTACTTAATAAAAATAAATATGAAAAGATAGATTTAATTTAAAAATAAGTAACTATTTTATTGAGGTGAGATTTAATTAAAATATTTTATTAAAATAAAAGGAGTAATTTTCATACGAATCAAATGATATATATGCATACTTTTCCCTTCCAAGTTCCAAGTTTATCACTCTATCCAACCCAAACGTGCTGTAAAGCAGATCTAGAATGACATTGATAAAATTGAAGACTGCACGTTAAGTATATTAAAGTAAATATTCGTTTTCTCCACACGCATGCGTATTTGTTTATAAAGCATACACTCATCCGTATTAAATTATAAGATAATTAATATTTTCTTTATTAAAAAATTTAAAATATTTTTAATCAAATCTTACACCCCAATAAAATAGTTAATTATATCTAAACAATGTTATCTTTTTATATTTACTTTTATTTAATATGGTGTTCTACTCTAAAATAATTATCTTTACCCAAATTTTAAAATAAATATTAAGTGATTTATTTATTATGGACACTTTTAGAAAAATCACATCAATTATTTTTGAAGCGCTAAAAATACCTTATATTTTTTAATAAAAAAAATATAAGATTATGCATATCAATAAAGTTTAATAATGACACTTTATATATTTATTTTGGAAAAATTTCAATGAGGTCACTTGACCAGACTTGATTTCAATCAAAGCTTATAAAATTCTACAATTTCACTGCACATATGATGACATGAAATGAAATTAAAAGTTGATTGAAATGACTTTATTATCTTTGACAAAGCTAGGTGCACAATAACTCATACAAAAAGTTAACGATTAATGTATAAAAAATAAATAACTAATATAGGTGAAATTTATCACTTTTACTAACAATATAACACAACTATAAATATAATCAAGTGAAGTTACATGCATGAACAATTGATATACAAAAAATAAACAACTAACAAGTGTGTAACGAGAGTTACAAATTCACAATGATATTATACTATTAATGATGAATTTGCAATTTTCATTACACCTACTTAACTGTTCATTTTTCATATATTAGTTGTTAATTAAGTACACATAACTTTTAATCCCTATACTTTATTTGTGTCTTTCTTTTGGTCTATATATATATATATTTGATATTTTAGATCCTTACGTTTTTATTTTTTTTTTTTATTTTGAGTCTTTTTAAGGTCTTTATACTCTGCTATTAGAGAAACCGAAAATAATAAATAACAAAAATGTAGTGATCTAAAACAACAAAAAAAGCATGGAGACTAAAAACAAAACATAAGTAAAGTATCGAGACCAAAAGTTATATTTATCTTTGTTAATTTCTCTATGTGAGGAATTCATGCGTCTAAGTTCGTTAGGAATAACAAGGTTATTTTAATAAACTCTTTAATTTTATTTCAATCCTTCATATATACAGAAAAATTTTAAAATTTTAAGGATTTTAATTGAAATTAAGTCTAGTCAATAGTCTTAGCTAAAATTTTTTCATTTGCTCTTTCAAAAATAAATAAATAAACTTCTAACTATACACTCATAATATATGTAGCACTTAAATACAAAAAAGGTCTAGATTTCTTTTACGGAAACACCGCTTCTTTAAATTGATTCTCATTGAAAATACGTAAATAATAATGGAATAACTTGCCAAGGAGAGAATTTATGCCTTGAAAATTATTGAAAATCTACCAAAAAAAATCGGATATTTTTTTGGTGTAAAAAATAGGATAATTTTGTTCGCAAGACCTCCGTTGCTCTAAAGGAAAATCAACATATTTCACCCCGAAAAAAGAAAAGAAAATCAACATTGTTTTGTTGAACAAATAAGATAAGATAACTCTTCCAACAACAAAAAAAATATAAATCTGTCTCAAAACTTTAAATATTAGAGATTTTAGATCCCCTCAAGCAATTTCAATTTCAAAATATACATTTTTTAAAACTAAATATTTTATTTCAAGTCTACAGTTTTTTTTTTTTTTTTGCTTTCACACCCGGTATCCTGAATTGTTTGGGTATGCTAGGTTTATTATCCGCCCAATCTACTCCAAACTAATTCAAATTTCCGCTTAGGTAAAGCCCTTTTTGAGAAGATTTCATGAGTATTACTGACGAGACATGTTTTACATGCTCAACCATACTACTACGTACTCTGAGGTTTAAATTTAAGATTTTAAGTTAAGCTGTTCAAGCCTCTAACCTATAAAACAAGTGCCCGTTGGTAAGTCCACAGTTTTTTATGCAGAAAATCAATCTTCCAAAGCGTACTGGGCCCCCTTGGTATGGGCTGAAGTGCATTTTTAGCTCGGACCATGCTGCTAAATGGGCCTTAAACTATTTTGGTTGACGCTGCCGTGATTTGATTGGTTGGTGGCGTTGAAAGCCAGAGTAATCAGGTGTAGAAGAATGCATCGGGACGACGGGGGAAGGCTGGCGTGTTTTGCCCTTGAAGGGATTTCTATACAGTTGAACTGATCGCAAACTTAGGGCTTTTCCCGCGCAAATGGAAACCGAAGGTAATTGCTCCATAACGGTATTTTTCATCCTTCTCATCCCTTGGTTTGAACCTTCAGTCTTGTTCTTTAACGATTCCCGTTATTTTCCTTGGATTTATATTTGATGCTGTTTCAGCGCAAAAAGGAACTGCAAACCCTTCGGCAATGTTGGCTTCTCTTCTCAGTAGGAGAGCTAAGCTTCACGAGGAGCTTCGTAACATAGAAAAGCAGGCAATTCTCTACCCCCTTCAGGGCTTCTCGGCCCCCTCTTCTTCTTTTAATGTGTTTCGGTTGCCCGAAAACTATTGTGTATAAGGGTATTTTGTTTCTATACCTTATCATAAAATGCTTATTTGACAGCGTGTCAAGACAATTAGGATTTGATATGGGTTATTAAAATTAATTTCTTCAACACTACACAGGTTCTTCGGTGTGCTTTTATACCTCTCCAAAATTTGGCTGGTCATAGCTGTCTTGTTAAAATGCACTACATGTTTTTTTTGGGCCCCTTTTAAAAAACAACAGGTGTTGGCAAAGGTTATGCTGGCTGAAATTCCAAGCAACAAAAACTGGGTAAAGATTGCAATTGGGCAACCATATTTTTTTCTCACTTTTAATTTGTAAAGATGTTAATTCTCATCAACTGAAATATGCCAGATTACATGGAGATATGTTTCTTGTTCAATTGCGCCAATGCAAATCACCTCTGTTTCAATGTTGATTGTGATTCTCCCTTATGAAGACAGACCCTAGCATGAAGGAACTAACATTTTGTATTTAAGGCAGGTTTATGACATGGAGACAAGTTATTTACAGGATCCGGGACAGTGTGGCAATGTATTAAAAGGATTTGAAGGGTTCCTATCCTCGTCAAAGAACACTGCACTGTATGGAGTTTCTTCTCCTTCTCCTTCTCCTTCTTGTTCTTCAAATTTATATTGATATGTCCATTTATTCATCAAAAATAGAATGAGTCTATCAAAATGTTATTTGTTTTTTTGTTTTTTTTTTCTTTCATGGTTGGAGAAGGCTAGATCATGAGTGTTACATGGATTGGGGGAAAAAAAAAATCACATCAAGAGATAACTTGCCACCGCCGGCCAGTCGTCCAGATTCACCGGTTTTTGGGTCTTACCAAGATTTCATCTGATAAAATAGACTTGAATGAAATGCTAAGAAGTGGAGTACCTAGGGTGCTGCCCATAGCAAAACAGTGAAATACGTATAAAAGCTCTAGCTTGAAACTTGAAAAAAAAAATAAACGTGTCTTGTGTATTTTTCCATCTTAAATAGACGACTTCTTTTCCTATTTGGTATTTTTTTTATAGATAAAATATGATATAGTGTCAAAGATGTGTCTATATCAGTTGCATTGCATTTGTTCCTGTGTTATCAAGTTACGCTGATTTAGACACAATGTTTCATAATTGATTGACATTGACATCGGTGAATCTGACTTCTTCATGGCAGCTTGAAGCGGTCTAGAAAGTTTCAGCCTGAGGATAGGCTCTTTTCATTATCTTCGGTGACCTCGCCAGCGGTGTGTATTCTGTAATTTTAAATTAGCCAGAAGAAGTAAATAAGGATGTTTGGTTATGAGTGTGAAGTACTGATTGTGGCTAGAGAAAAAAATAATAATAAAGTTGACCCTGTTTCTTCCTTTATAGTTCAATTTTCACATCCTTTTTAAGTTAACTACTGATGGTACTTTTATGTGTTTGACCGTGTTGATTCTGCTTATCATCTGGAAGAGAAGACTGATTGAAAACTTATTTAAGAAAAAGATTGTTGGGCTACAAATAAAATACATCAACCATATACTGTCTTTGACTATAAGCACGTGTCTAGAATATTTTATTGTTAATGTGAGGGAAAAAAAAAGGAAGAAAATAGATAAGAAGATAACTTGTTTCCACTGATTTGGAACCTGTCATGCAATTTTTCTTCGTTCTAGAAGTTGGCTTGTCAAACACTTGCTTAGAAGACTCCTGTTTTGATCTGGAGTCTGTAGGCAGTATTCAGGTGGAAAGTTAGGCAGAGAATGTGAGATTTAAGGCTGCATTTTGAACAATTTGGAGCAGATGCCATTTATGAGCATTATGGCTGCAGTTCAATTATATCGTAAGTTTAAAACTTTATCTGAGATTAAGAGTTGCATCCTTCACCCCATATCTAGTGTTTGACATTAGAATTACTTGATGTTAGTTGAATATAATTTGGACTGAAGAGAAATGTAATGTTTTCCTCCGAAGGGGTCCAATTTCTGGATGTGATTTGTCTGTCATCTTTGTGATTTTGTTGCACTAAAGCACTAAATATTTGAAGCTTTGAACATAGAAGCATCAAAATCAAAGGATTGAATAAGTATTAAATACAACCTTGGAGGCTGACAGGTCATACTCATATCTAAGGTTCAAGTTGGTAAAATCTTGAACATGCTGAAGTGCATCTGTTGAAATACATTAGCTGAAGTGCTGTTTGGCCAAAAAAAGAAAAAAGGGCCAAGGTGCTGAACTCAATGAGCCTTTCCTTTCATCTTACTGGACTTGATCCGTCTCTTCTTTTTAACACCTTTCAAAAAGGAAAGGTCCTATTTTCTGTTTGTTTTATTTATCTATGGAGATTTTATATTTTAAATATGCTAACAGGATCTTCTCATGAAAATATTATTTCTGAATTCTGAAGTTCTAACGTTGATTTGCATTTTCTTCAAATGTCAATCACAGGCAGAAGAGATTGCAGCTGCTAGAGATGGTGAGATTATAGAAGCGTACATATAAATAATTTTCTTGTCATAAATTTGATTGTGTCTTCATCCCTTGGTGTTCATCTCAGATGGAAGGTCAGATTTTGGCCCCGGACGTTCAAAAGGTGGAATTTATGCCAATGGGCAGTAAGTAATCCGCTGATGGATGTTTGGTTAAGTTCTAAAAATGTTAGCGAACATTTACAGTATACATGCAATGAGTATTTTTGAGCTTAAAACTTGTACGTGACAGGGGCAAACCGAAGAAGGGAAGAGGTGGGCCTAGAGATGCAAAGAGAATCAGGGCTTCTAGTGAACAAGATTTTGATTATGAGGATGATCCTGACTTGACGTTATGAGTATTAGAATTTTGAAGTGCTGACACGCCTTTCACTTAAAGTTCATGGGCGTTCGAAAAAACTGCATGTAAACTGAATGAATGCCCATTTTTGGTGCTCTACGGTTGTCTGCATTGCATTCAAGTAGGTGTTCAAGTCTAGATGGTTATGGACGTGATTCTGCGCAGGCGAGGAAAGCCATTATGCTGTATCTTGTACCAAAGGGCCTACTACATTCTAGTAAAATAGGGGGCTGGCATACAGTTAATGCTTCTCCTGCCCATTTTCCTTTTGGTTGGCAAGTTGATGGGAGTTCATGAAACATGTACAATACATGTGAATGTATTTTGTTCAGGTGTTTTTTTTTTTTTCCTTTTCCGTAATCCTGTATGAAAAGAGAGAGGAGAAAATTATTTGTCATTTCGGTAAAAATTTCTCTCCCACTTTAATTGTTGTTTTATTGTAACAATGGATAATTAGTGGATATTCTTTTAAGTGTATCGTTGACATGTATTCTCCACTTTTTATTATTAGAGAAATTATTACTTTTCACTTATATTTTTTATAAGTAAAATTTTCTATTTCAATAAAAATTTATTACACATTTCTTAAATAATCTTTCATAATTTACAATAATAAAAAATAATTAATGTATGTTTATGTTAATTAATGTGAGATATTTTAAATTGTGTAATATAATTTTTTATATATATGAAAATTGAGGGAGTAATTTGTTTGTTTTTTAAACATTGTATGCAACAATAAGTTGTTACTTGATTCACTAGGTGAGGTCAGTTATTTTAAAACACTGATCGCATAGAAAGTGAAGAGAATATATAACAATTTAGTAAAATTATCAGTAATTAAATTATTTAGTATTATTAGTAGTGGTATTATTATAATAAAAACCACCGCGGTCTATTACATAACCATCGACCATGTCACGTCAAGGATTTGAACAAATAACTAATTTCACCAACCAAGATCCAGAACGATTTCCAGAAACTAACCCAGGGGGAGCGCATTTTGTGCTTATCAGGGGTGCAAATAATCCAGGGCGTATGATCCAGATTTAAAAATTTTATTTTTTAAAATAAAATGGTTTAAAAAATTTATTAAATCTATTAAGTGCTAATATGTACATTTCATATTTACTCAGGCTGGTCCAAATTTAATGTTATTTTTTTATACTTTTTATAAATTAACTATACAAATTTACTTTGGACTGTTTTAAATTTGATGGTATAATAAGTTAAAAATTTTGAACTGATTCAATTAAATATGAACAATACTTATTGATAATTAATAAATTTATTCAAAATTTTAAAAATTTTTACTTTAAAAAAACAAAAAGTACTTAAATCTGAAAATCTGGACAGCATGAGCCCTGATGAGCACGGAATGTGCTCCCTAACCAGGATAGGAAAAACAAAGAAGCTCGAAACATTGGATGTGAAATTAAAGAAGACTGGCACCGAAGTGAAGGTGTGAAGGGTGTATGGAGATCTCATAATGGCTGAGGTCATAAATGCAGGAGGAAAAGCAGAGGTGAATGATTTGGGTAAGATTGACTTGGACGTTCAAAGATCAAACAATCTAAATTTAATATAGATAATCAGATTTAAGATTTTTAAATATTTTTTTAAAACTAACAATTAAAAGATTAATATCGTTTTATATTCTCATATAATCAAAAATATAAAAATAAAATAATATTAAATCTAATAACTGAACTTCTGAAGTGTGCAACCTCATGCTCATCTCCTTAGAGGGTGCTAATAACCTTAGAGGGTGTTTCCAATTAGGATGGCTGCCATCATCCGGCGTCGTTTTGGTATAGCCCACCTTCCCTTCTCGATTCCTCCTCCTCCGAGTATCATCCCGCTTGTGGCAGCTAGCAAGGCACTCTACCGGTGGGGAAGTCGGGAGTCCTCATCGGTTGTCCATACGAGTATCGAAAATTCTTTTTTTGCCTTGAAAAAGCTGGACTTGGGAAGAACATAAATTGCCAACGGCAATTCCTCTCCATGGATTTGCTGGTGTGTACATTATCAATCACTCTCTTGCTGCTTTTCATTATCTTGTATTATTTTCCTGGCTCAATCTATGTTTTCATTTTCTTTCGTGTTTTGGAACAAAAAATAGGACATGCTTAAAATGCGCAAGAAGATGCCTGACAAAGAACCTCAAGTTCCTGTGTTCTGGTTCGAAACCTCTGATTCCGTTTGTCGACGGTTCCAATTTGATCCCGATGGCCAACTTTCTGTACGGTTTCTATTCTCCTGCTATCTTTTGTTCTCTTATTTAGGTACACGGAGATGAATCTTGATGAGGACCTCGGGAATTGACTTTCTTTAGTTCTACTTTTGAGGAAGGGGAATGTCGTCATATTTTTCATCCTTCTAGATTTGGAATCTATTAAATCAACAAGAAATATTCCCAACTGGTTTCATTTGTCTTAGTCTAGGAAGGTTCATCTCTAATCTCTTCGAAGACATTTGTTATCTCATGCATTATGAAGTTTGTTCCCGCATTGGGTTCAATTTAAAGTTTGCCTCAACTGTACTCGTTCCTTTTCTTTATGATGAAGCGCTTTTTTAATGTATATTATCTTCGGAAATATTGCTATTATAGCAATATTGGAATCCTTCGCAAGTAGAGACTTATTTGGAAAATTAATTGCCATCCTGCTGGATTCTTCGCATCTTATCAGTTCTTTCTGGTTTTATTCTGGTACATGAAGTACCTCGAAAGGTGTCAGCGATTCGTCTTGCTGGGTTAAAATTTATTTCTTCTTCTTCTTCTTTAATCCCCCATTATTATGTTTGCCTTTCTTACTTCCCTTTTTTTAGAACTAAATGCTAAAAATCAAAGAGGGAGAATTCGTGCTTGTTTCGCTATAGTCAAATATGTTATATGTTATTCCAACATTGCAGCAGCTACCTTTTTTTTTTTTTTTAGGAACTTCACTTCTGAATCAAGCTATATGTGTTCTTGTTAGTCATGAAAATACACGGTTACACCATCTTTGCTCATGGTTGGATTTAAGTTTTCGTGAAATTGTTTGTTTAGCTGGTTCTTTGCTTTCATTGCCCTAACAAATATTTTGGTTTTCCTTTAGGTAAAGCTTGTAGATGACTCCAGACCAATATATCACAAGATAGTGGAGTCTTTCCTAAATAAATTTTTTCCTTCAGGATATCCATATAGGTTGTTATCTTTCCTAATAGGATGTATTCCATTGGGATGGGCCAGATGGCTCAGACAAGGAAGTCTGATGACTCAAACTTTTGGTGTTTGCTTTGCAGTGTGAATGAGGGCTACCTTAGATATACTCAGTTTCGAGCACTTCAGCATGTTACTAGTGCAGCACTCTCAGTGCTGTCAACTCAGGTCTTCTGATCACTGCAAAATATTAGTATCATATATAATTAGAAATAATCTTACAGCATTGATATAAAGTCACTTGCCTAAACAGATGAGTTATACAATTCTTTTGATATGTATTTGGTTTATTCCTTTTCTTGGTGAAAAGTTTATTCCTTTTTTAGTTGCATGAATAATAATGATCTTAATAACATAATATAGTGAGAAGTAGTTTTCCTTGGTCTGTCTGCTTATTCTTCTGCAGTCACTGCTATTTGCTGCAGGTTTGCAGCCCACCCCTGCTCAATCAACTGCTGTTAGTTGGGTAATTTGAGATCACCTTGCATTTAACAATTCTGAGACTAGTAATGATGGCATCCATTTAAGAGATGTCTTCTTTGTGTTGCTCTGACATCCAGATTTTAAAGGATGGAATGCAACATGTAGGGAAGCTAATATGTAGTAATTTGGGTGCACGAATGGATTCAGAGCCTAAACGTTGGAGAATTTTTGGTCTGCATCTTGACTAGAGCCTTTTTCTTCTTCTTGTAGCTCATAGTTGCTTATTCACTGGGTGTCTGACTGCTGTAAGCCTTGCATTTTACAGCTGACGTGCTCTATGATCTAGGCACTGGCTTGGAAGTTCTTTCTCCTTTGTGCCCACATCTTTTTCTTGAAATGGCAGGCCTCGGCAATTTTGCGAAGGTATGCTATCATAGAGGACTTTTATGTCCCATTTGAGTGAAAGACTTGTTATTTCCTATTTGATACTGGGACTGGGGTCTCATTAATAAAGTTGACTGCAAACACCCCCCGGTTCTTTTCATTATTATCTTGGAGTTGGCAGGGGATGGCAGTTGTTGCAGCGAGAGCAACTAGGTTGCCTATTTATTCTTCTTTTGCCAAAGAAGGAAACCTTAGCGATCTATTTGCCAAAGGGGAGGCTATTTCAACTCTCTTCAATGTTGTTGGAATTGGAGTTGGAATCCAGTTAGCATCTACTATCTGTACTTCAATGCAAGGGAAGGTATGCACTGTATTATACTTTTTCCTGAGCTTTATTATTTATATGGATTCGTTCAGCCTTTTACCCATATTAGGTTTGTGCTAACAAGCAATTTAACGACTTTCTGAATGACACTTAAAAGATGAAAGTTGTAGCAGCTTGGGAAGCAATGTACATGTAGCTTATTGTAGAGATTGTGAGATTAGACCATCTATCTGGACATTGCAATCTTAAAAAACAGAGCAATACCCCCAGAAATGATACACTGTTCGTGGTTAAATATGGAAGTGGCAATATTATCAAGAGGGGAAAAAAGGTATATTGAAGTGACAAATTATCAAAATATGTCTCTTAGGAGTTGTCACGAGTCTCACATTGGGGAATCTCACAAGTGGGTGGGGTTTATAAGTTCAAAAGGTTCTCCATTTGGGCTTGTGTTCGTTAATTGGTGCTTTTGTTGAGAGGGTGGTGCCATAAAAAGGGCTACCCACGGAAGGTTTTTATTGACAGAAGGCTGAGTGAAGTGTCGTGGAGTGAAGCCGCTAGAGACATTGGCTCTTGATGGAGTGGTATTGTTACAAGTCCCGCATTGGGGAGCCTCACAAGTGGTGTAGGATTTATAAGTTCAAGGGACTCTCTCTCCTAATAGGCTAGTATTTTAGGATGGGCTTTCTCTTTAAACTTGTGCTCATTAATTAAATGATGGGTTCCAAGATAATTAAAGAGAAATAAGGAACATAAATCTCTATTAACATATGAAATTAGAATCTAATTTCGTAATATTAATAAGAGAACATACAACTGATAGAAGAAAATAGAAGAAATAAATCTATCAAGATGATATAAAACAAGAATCTCGTTCGTTATTTCTCTCAATAGCCACTCTTAAGAGAATCTCCAAAGAGCCAAGTCTCAAAAGTCTGTTTTATTGAAGATATAATAGCTTCTAAGTTACTAAGCATATTTATAATGCTAAATATAATCTAAAATAATGAATAAAATCTAGATAATTAAATAAAACTGAATAAAATCTCTTAAAATCTATATCTATATAAAATACTAAATAAAATCTAAAGAACTAAATATCTGAATAAAATCTAAATAGCTAGATATTTGGATAAATATATAGATATCTAAATGAATATCTAAATATCTATAATAAATTTAGATAACTAAATACCTAAATAAAATCTAAACAATATTATTAAATGTAAAATATTTAAAATCAATTAAAAATAAATATTTATTTATAATATCTATCTTCCCAAATCACTCATTATCTCGGAACTCTATCGATATTCCTCCCTTGAAAATTCACCTTGACCTCAAGGCAAAACATAGGCGATAGCTTTCTTGTGTATTTGGAGGTTTAGATGGGAGTAATAGATAAATAATATCTCCAATGTGGATTCCAAATGGTTGAACAAGAGGCTGCATGGGAACTTTAAGGATAAAGTTGCAGTTAGACCTATTATCCACCAAGTTCAGGACGTGGCATTCAAAGAAGCTCCTTTAAAGCGTCTTTGCAGATATGTTGTTGCTATCCAGAATAGCATTGAGGGAAATTTCAAGCCCACTAGGTTCCATGTCCATGGTTTTGTCCTCTTCAAGGGAAGGAATAATTTCTTCGTCCTCCTCTGTAATTTCCAGCAGCAAAAACGATCCCCTGAAGTGATGCCCAGGTTTGATAGTCTCACCACAGCTGAAGCACAGTCCCATCTCTTCTTGTTGCTGTTTGGCTTCCATGGAAGCCATTCTAGATGTTGGCTTGTGAGGAAACGGGGTTGAATTTTTTGGCTGAAGGGAGTTTGAAGTCAATGCTGATGTCTCTTTGAAGTCACGTGCTGTTTGATAAGGGATTGAAGGAAACAAAGGCTTAGTTTGGTTTTGCTGGGCAGTTTTGAGCCCACAAGAGTTTTGGGCTATTAACTTTAAGGCTTAGGTTTATGAATCCAAACATTAGATTTGAGCTTCTCCTTGAGCCCTTTGATGAAGACTCCCAAGAGGCAATGTTCTGGCCAATTCTTCACACGAGCAGAGCGCTTGGCAAATTCTAAATGATGCTTCTACATAGAACCAATTTGCTTGATGCTACATAAAAACTCATATGGGTTCTAATATTCTAGAGGCCTATAATTTTTTAGTAACACCTTCACTAATTCTTCCCAATAGAGGATTGTACGTTCCGTGTTAATAGAAGCAAAGAAATCACAAGCGTCTCCCTCTAAATGTCTCATTGCAATATCAAGTTTGAAGTCTTCAGAAGTGTGATAATATTGAAAATAATTTTCAGCCTCTAAAATCCATGGTTGTGGATCTCTACCATGATACTTGGGAAAATATGTTCTAGAAGATGGAAGATAGATGATAATAGGATAGGATGGATGGTGAAAATGTGGGTTTGTGAAAAAAGTGTGCGGAATAGGTAGATACCATCTTTGGATCGAATGTCTCTGATGCCAAATGATAGGTTCCAAAATGATTAAAGAGAAATAGGGAACATAAATCTCTATTAACATATGAAATTAGAATCTAATTTCGTAATATTAATAAGAGAATATAGAATCAATAGAAGAAAATAGAAGAAATAAATCTATCAAAATAATATAAAATAAGAATGTCGTTTTATATTTCTCTTAATAGCCATGCTTAGGAGAATTTTCAAAGAGCTAAGTCTCAAAAGTCTGTTTATTCAAGATATGCCAGCTTCTAAGTTGCTAAGCATATTTGTAATGCTAAATATAATCTAAAATAATGAATCAAATCTAGATAATTTAATAAAACTGAATGAAATCTCCTAAAATCTATATCTATATAAAATACTAAAAAAAATCTAAAGAACTAAATATCTGAATAAAATCTAAATAACTAGATATCTGGATAAATATATATATCTAAATAAATATCTAAATATTTATATGAAATCTTGATAACTAAATACCTAAATAAAATCTAAATAATATTATTAAATGTAAAATATCTAAAATAAATTAAAAATAATATTTATTTAGAATATCTATCTTCCCAAATCACTCATTATTTCAGAACTCTATTAGGAGTCATGCCTTGGGGCATTGGTTGTAGGGATTGCGTATTACTTTATTTACAATCAAGACCATCACTTTTTATCACGTAAACAAATATCCCAGTTTAATTTTATCTTTAGAGATTGAATGAATCATGTAACTCATTTTAATGAGAAGTTTTATTTTTATTGATGTTTCCCAACCGATGGATTTTGAAACATTTGTTATTAGTTGGTTGCGGGGCCTCTGCTTTCAATTATACATGTATACAGTGTGGTTGAAGAAATGAGAGCTACTCCTGTCAATACCTTGAATCCACAAAGAACCGCAATGGTTGTGGCTGATTTTCTTCAGGTCTGGAATCTGGATTGCACTATATCAATATGAACGTTCGCTTGTTTCATTTTTCTTGTCTGGCAGTCTGACTGACTGCATTGAAATCTAAACTAGGCGGGAAATGTATCAAGTCCTGCTGATATTAGATACAGAGAAGATCTGCTATTTCCTGGGCGACTTATAGAAGGTGCCGGAAATGTTAGAGTGGGTAGGGCTTTGCACAAAGCCATCAAGCCTTCAAGGCTTCATGAAATAAAAAAATTATTCCCTGAAGAGAAGTTTCTCTTAAATGGTGGAGGTAAATGCGTTGACATGGTGTTGGAGCATGATGCTAGTGGCGAGGATGCATTGAGAGGCTGGTTGGTTGCTGCATATGCTGCACAAATGGACAAGCCCTCTCAAGAGCTCAGTGCCGGAACCCTGCAGGAGGCCTATGACAAAATGAACGATGTCTTCCCTGTATTTCTAAGAGCATTGCAGAACAAAGGATGGCATACTGACCGTTTTCTGGATGGAGCTGGGAGTCGCTTTTCATTATAGCGACAGGTTAATGCTATTTTTGCCTTCTGGTTTCACCCATTTCTGTGATTGCATGTGAATGCGTAGTGGTAAGGCATAGATTTTTAACAGTGTTTTGCGCGGATTAAGGAAAGAGGAAAACATTTTTGGTCCCTGATCTTCAATTTTTTTTTTTTAACGTCCCAGATTAAGGCATAGGAATAGATTTTTAACAGTATTTCTGATTGATGCAATTAAGAGCTTCTTTGGTCCTTTCTGTTTCCTTGAATGTTGTGGAGCAATTAATGATTAATTATTTTCGTGGAGAATATATATTAATGAAACATGAGATGATGAGGCATATCTATTTTGTCTTCTCGTGCATTTATGAATGCCGGAAATGTGACCCAGATCTATACAATGCCAGATTATATGTTTTTATTTGGCCTCCTTTTACGACTTTTTTTTTAATAAGAGAACCTTAACAGAAGACAAGGTTCAGCCAAACCATGTATACAGAACACTACTCCTATTAGCTTGAGGCCTTTAATATGCTTTTTTCTGATGCTCATTTGTAATGTCTTAACTTTTCAACTTAGTTTTTTTTGTTTTGAATTATTGACTTCTACATAAAATAAGAGATATTTTGATAAAATTTCATAACGGTAAAGATTTGTATTTTTTGTAATTTTTTAAAGATAAATGTCATAATTATATCATTTTATTTTTGAAGAATTATAAAAAAATATAAATTTTTATCATTTTAAGACTTCAAAATGTTAAAAAGTTTTTTAGTTTAAGTAGAAGCCAATAATTCAAAAAAAAAAATAAAATTACAAAGTTGACGCATTACAATGATTATTAAAAAAAAGTGCATCGGTAGCCCATCAACTTCTACCACCTTGAGGTGGTTAAGTGGTGGTTGAGTAAAACTAACAAAATCCCTAAAATCATGAGCTTTCCTTGTGAGGATGTTTGCACATGTTTGTCTCCTTGAAAGCAAAATTAACAGAAACTTCCAAGCATTCATGTCTATCTATGTAGTTGTAGTTAAACATGAACAAAATCTAGATATAAAAATTTATAAGGTATGATTCATTTAAAATTATGGAAAGTATGAGTTTATCTAGTTATTCACAAATTCCCTTCTGTTGGTCCCTGTTCATTTTCGAACGTGTAACCCTCCTGTTAATTGATGAAGATTTGTTCAGCTGGTATTGATTCCTGATATAAGATCAATTAATAACTGATCTGTTTACTCTGAGATAACAGCACGTCGCGTTTAAAATTATTCTTCGAGCAAACATAATGGAGGAGAATCTTGGCATCCATAGGATGATAGGAGGAACCAAATAGAAAGTCACATTAAGCTCGAGCAAGTTATGAGCATCATGTTTGAAGTGATAAAGTCATGCGCAAGAAGTAGCAGGCTAAAGCATGGAGGACAGAAGTTGAGCATTGGGATCTGAAAATACAAAGTAAGACCTATCTTCAGATATTCTCCTTTAGAATTAGAATAAAAAAAATATAGATGTCAGTTCCTTGTTGAAGCGCCGGATTTGTAAATTGATATCTGAATACTTTTACCTGATGAAGTTACAAGAAAAAGATATATGTGTGCTTAAATGTTAATACTACCAGAAGGCCATACAAGTCCCCCATTGACAAAGCTGTACAAATCTGGACACACACAGAAGGCGGCCAGAATTAGCACAGTAAAAGATAATGTTAAGGTGGCAAAGCGAGTGGGCTTTAACTGAGTCATAATTATGTCTCAATACATTTAACTAAGAAAAAAGGGAAAATTCATAGTATGAATGGTGACTGTATGGTGTGATTGAAAGAATCAAATGCTTATCTCGGCTAGCTTAAAAGTCAAGTAAAACCTCACACCCAAAAGATTTTAAAAAAGAAGGGATTACCATTAAGTCAGCTTTTGAGTTCAATCATATAAGTGCTTGCAGTTTTCTTCTCTGTCTCTCTCATTTTATTTGTTAATAATGTACAATTGTAATGTTGTTAAAAGTGCGATTAGATCGACCCGTGCATATTTAAGTCATCGAATCGCATAAATTTATGCAGATGGTGGAATGCGGTCAACTATCTTGAAAGCGTGCTACCGACTCCCATGCTTTTCACCTAATTACTAATTAATAAGTGACATCATCTCTGACAATACCCTATGCCTTTCCTTTTCTTGAAATTCTCCTTCAAACCATATTTTATCCTTCAAAGGTCTAATTTATATTCACACATTTATATATGATATAAAATTCATCGTACAAGACACTGATTTGTTTTAAAATTTTGTGCGAATTTAAGACTTGATTTGTTCAGATTTCAGAATACAAAAGTCATTCGGCTTTGATTTGTTTGTTCGCTAAAAGGAGTCCTTTCCAATTTATATATAGCTTTTTCGCTTTGTTTTCTTTTTCAAAAATAAGACCTGGGCTACCGACTTTGGCACTAGCCTCTTTCTTTGACCTCTTTTGAACTACTTGATGCAATGGTGTTAGCAAGGCCTATCACGACTTGAATCATTTTTCTAATTTGCGAAATACCATTTCCACCCATAAAGTTGGTCGTATCTTGATGATAGTATTTTATTATTATTGGGTTTGATCAGCAGCACGTACGTTCAGAGACTGGAGTTGAAAAATGCCCAAACTACTGAAGTGATAATCGATTAAAAAAAAAAAATTCAAGAATGCAAAGCGATAGATATTATAAAACTGAATTGATACAATATAGCTTTTAAAAATACAAAACATTCATCAATCTAATAATTGTAATTTGACTTAAAGCTGGCATGTGGCCGAAATGTAACTCTAGTTGTTTAGAAAAATTTAATGATTTGAGGTACAAATCCTAACCCCTGTATATCGATGCATTTGGCAATCTTCTAGTTAAGAGTTACAGGAGAAACTTGGAGAGAGTAACATTTCATGCCCTAAAAAAAATGGATACTGGGATGATTTTTTAGGAAATGGGAAGTAAAGATGGGGGTCAAAGGGGGACATGGTTGAAGGTGTGGAGATATGGCGAGAGGCGGCGAGAAGATGGAATGATGGAAAGACACAAGTGTCCAAGTGTTAACCCCCAAAGTCAGTTGGGCAATTTGCACGTTTTATTTGGTTCGAGCAGCGATTGTGCAGGAGCATCTCCCTCACACGTGCTGCTTCGTATAGCGGGGCGTGCCAGCTTCAGCAAGCACCGTGGATTGGTCAATGCCTTGCTTGTTGATAACATTATAAATAGTCCACGGCCCAGCGCGTCCAGGGTTGAGACAGAAGAAGAAGAAGAAGAAGGAAAATGGGGAGAGCTCCGTGCTGTGAGAAAATGGGACTGAAGAAGGGGCCATGGTCTCCGGAAGAAGATCACATACTCATCACTTACATCCAATCCCACGGTCACGGCAATTGGCGAGCCCTTCCCAAGCAAGCTGGTATTCATTATCACTTCATTCTCTATGTACAGAAATCAAATCAGCTTCTCTTTTGCATCACCAAGTGTGTTGCTTCATTGATCAGTTACATTGATATTTATATGTATATGCTGTAGGGCTGTTAAGGTGTGGCAAGAGTTGCAGATTGCGATGGGCCAACTATTTGAGGCCTGACATCAAGCGCGGCAACTTCACCCCTGAAGAAGAGCACACCATCATCCACTTGCACCATCTCTTGGGAAACAGGTCTCTCTCTCTCTCTCTCTCTCTCTCTCTGCACTTCTCCTTCCTTTTTTATTTCCCTTATTTTACTTCTGAATCCTGATATAATTACTTCTCACACAGATCCAGTAATCAAACCCATTTACATAAACATTCAGTGGCACTAAAAAAACAGATTTGCATTCAATAACTGGACTTAATATGGGTATTGAATGCTTATAGTATCTAAATTATTAAAATTTAAATCAATAGTTCAAATAAACTCACTTATTCATAAATTTTATGTGGAGTATAAATTTATAACTATTAATTTAAATTTTAACAATTTAAATAATATAGACACTCTAAATCCCATAAACAACGATAGACATTATTTATCTTCGGCCGAGTGCATCCCGTGATTAACCCCACTATGTTTTCCTCTTCCTATAGGTACAGCCAACCGACACATAAAATTTTATTTTTTGCTGAAGTAGTGAAATGATGTGGTTAAACTGTTCTTTTGATGTTGAGTTGAGCTGGACCGAAAAGCTAATTGGATGGGAGCAAAATCAAGACGATATGGATAAGTTGGTATGCTGCGGAGATTCTTCACTCCAGCTGCAGCATTTTCACGTGCTCCTTCCTAAGAAAATAAAAAACCCCTTTGCTTTTCCACCAAATTAAAAAAAATTAAAAAAGGCAAATGAAAGGCTGGCACATTGGTTAGTGCGTAAGGTTATTATTAAGGGAAGGAAAGTATCTAGTGCTTAATGTTAATACCATGTTTAAACATTAAACATGTTTTTTAATGATGCAGGTGGTCGACAATTGCAGCGAGGTTACCGGGACGCACGGACAATGAGATAAAAAATGTGTGGCACACCCGCCTGAAGAAGAGGCTCCCACAAAACCAAGAAAACCTCCCTACGAATCGGAACCCTAAACAGAAAAAACAAAACCCCGTGAGTTCTTCCGCCAATGATGATGACGATGACGATCACGCAGTGACCATCAAAACCCAGATCAAACAGCACTGTGCCCCGCTGTCTCCCCGGCAATGTTCTATCAGTATCAGTGACGCCTCCACCCTCACTACCAGTGACAATGTCGAACGTAACAATAATGACGTGTCCACAAATGATATTGAAACGCCAACTTTGGAGACTTTGGACGAGGACTTCTGGTCGGAAGTCCTATCGGCTGATAATTCCGGTGAAAACAGCGAACTTGCGGGAGTGGGTGATTATGCTGCTGACCCGCATTTCCAATTCCCATTCTCTCCGCTCACGGGTGAACCAAGTATTTGCGACGGGTTCAGCGTCGACTTTTGGGGCCACGATAACGTTTACACCAGAGCCCACGAGTTAACAGAGTTGTTACCGCAATTATGATATTCATTTGTAACCTGCTCATTCGTTAATATCACGCAACAAGAGAAGTTTGTTTGTTCCCCTTTTTTCCCCTGATCTGGGATCTAGATGTTTTAAAAAAAATTGAATAATAGAATCCACTTTTGTAATTTTACTCGCAGATTTTAAATCAAGTGTATTAACCAATGAAACAGAGAAATGGAGGGAGTCTACACATAGTCAGCCCCTGAAACTTTATGTCAATTCTATACTTTACCTTCTTTAATTTGTTCCTAACATTTTCATGCATCTTTAAAAATTTATTTTAATATTAAATTTTCCAAAAAAAATTATCAAAAATTTTATTTTTACCCTCAGTAAATATCTATAATTTACTAGATCGATAATTAAAAATATTGAGAGGTAAAAATGAAAACCTATTACATAACATTAAAAAATATCTTATGAATAAAGGATATCTTTTAAAAGATGTTTTATAAGTAAACACTAGAGGGATTCCATCGTGTAGTAATACTAATCCTTTTAATATTATTGGAGAATGTACAACTTTGCCCGAGAATCAAATCGTAACGAAGAAAGGTGCATGTATACGATTCTTAAGTTTACGCATTACAGGATTCAAAGTTTCAAGAAACTACCACCTATAATTGACAAAGTGTCGTTATTAGAAGTTTCAGAAGGATTCGTTAAGGTATGGAAGATATTGAGAGGAGGAGGAGGAGGAAGAAGAAGAAGAAGAAGATCATGTGAACTTCGACACCCCCACCCTTCTGTGTTCGAATAACATGTGAACTTTGACTTCATAACCTAATAACGTGATGCCAATGTATCTGCAACTGCAAGTGCTATTTCCTCTTGCCTTTATTGGGTGCGGGCAAGTACTGCTTACCTATGTGCACTTATTCGTGCTAATGCTAATTTTTTTTAAATATTAATATAAGTGTAACACGATAACAATAATTTTTTAAATACGAAATGACGCGTTCTTGGGGCAAGCCGAACGTCAATGTTGATCTGCATTATGTGTGTTTGATGAAATTAAGTAGTTAGCAATTTTGATTCAAACGGGATTAGAGAAATGACATTTTTCAACTGTAGAATCACGGGCAAAATAAGCAGTGTGACATTAATTAAGTTTTAATATTATTTTCCCCATCACAATCTCGAGCAGACTTCTTATCTGTTGAGTTGTATTTGTATTTGATAAAAAGGAGCCTGTTTATTTCTTTGCACCGGAAATCTCAAATTTAAAGGGACCAATTTTTAAGGTTGAGAATTTTAGTTTCACAAATAGAATTTTAAAATTGAGAAGGCACCGAAGGGATTTTTATTAAAACTGTAGATCACGAGTGATTAAGAGGATTAAAGAGATAATTAAAGTGGTGAGAAGTTATGTTGATGGATATTGAAAGAGATAATTGAAATAGGGATTGAAATTAATAAATTTAATGAATTTTTAAATTTAGATTGTTTAAGTTAAAATATGATTCTTGCCCCAACCTTAATTATTTGAGTTAAAAAAAAAAAAGTTTGGCCAAAGCCCAGCTTTCAAAATATGGGTGGTTAATGAACGATACTCGGTTGAGCACACTCCATTTTGCAAAAAGCAAGAGTGAAGAAAATTACGAAAGAAACTGGAGCGAATGACCCTAAAAATTGGAGCATGGAATCATGAGTGCGGGCAAATCTGTATATATGTCAAGGGGGGCCCGTATAACCTGTCTGCCTCTGTATAAACTGTTTAGGGATTTAGTTATCTGAGGGTAATGGGAAATGATTTTTTAAAAAACATAATTCTAATTCGCACAAACAAACCAAAACTAACGCTCATAGGTTTATGTGATTTCATGGGTATTGTGAAATTCTCATGCTAAATTAAATAGAAATGAAATATATATATATATATATATATATATTGCTATTGGTTCATGGTTATTTATGGCTAATATTAATTATTCTTTTTGATAGAAAAAGGAGCCAAACTTAGGTCCTGTTTGGTTTTCATTCTCATTTTTTATTTTTAAAAACAGTTTTATAATACAGTTTTAAAATTATTTTTAAAATAAAAATAAAATGAAAATTCATTTTGTTACTTGATTTAAAAATAGTTTTAGAATTAAAAAAATAAATTGATGGTGATAGTTATAGGTAGTTAGTCTTGGTGATTAGTAATAAAAATTAATTAAGATAACTATAATTTTAATAATTGAATGTAATGTATTTTAAAAATAAGAAAAAGAAAATGAAAACAACTTAGAGTTATTTCTATTTTTTTAAAACAAAAAGTGAAAATAATTTTAAAAATAACTAAATGAAAAACACTTATCCAAACAAATTTTTTACTTTTTTATTTTTAAAAACAAAAAAATAGTTTTAAAATTAGAAAACAGCTCTTTTTTAAAAAATATTTGTATTCATTGGGCTAATGTATATATTTAGTTTTTTAATTTTATGTAAAATTTCATTTTAATTATTTAATTTTAAAAAAATAATATTTTGGTCCTCTAATCTTAACATTGTTAATTTCATTAACAAAAATTTTTTACATTAAACTTTTAAATCTTGACAAAATATTTTATGTTTAATTTTTTAAAAATAACAACGGTTGATAAAAAAATTATCATTTTAAACTAACAATGTTATGATTAGAGAACTAAAAAGATAATTTATAAAATTAAGAAATTAAAATAAAATTTTGTATTAAATTAGAGGAGAGTTATACTTTAGCCTGGTCATTGTGTAAGTTTTTTATTTTTAAAACAAAATTTGGAGTCACACATCAAGTATTATTGTTTAAATTGATATGTTTTTGTGTGTGTGTGTGAATATACCAAAATATTTTTAAAATGTAATATTTTATTTATTCTTCATATTTATTTTTAAAACTAATAGAATTATGCATTTAAAGATATTATGTATTTTTAAAGTATTTTTATCTTATAAGTTTCATATTATAAAATTATTTTAATGAAATCACTTATTTCAACTTTTTTAAAAAATAAAAAGCTAACAATATAGTATATATTGATATTGTTCTATAAATTTTGGCCCCACACAGTTTGCATCCTAGTTTTGCCCCTAGTCATGGAAAAAAATGTCACTTTGTATCTATAAAAAAGGAAACCACCACAAACATATAAGTCTACACAATTTCTCTAGATACTTCAATAACTCAACCCAAAATCTACTTGTTCAATGCAAAACTCAAACATTGAACCTGTGTCACTTCAAAATCACTCAGTACGACTCCTTTTATCATTATAGATCTCACTAATCCCTATAATAAATAGTAATGAGTTCTCTCATAACCAACAGAGCGCTAGTTCCTAGCAAAATAGTAGCAGCGTGCCAATGCTTTTTTTTTTTTAGTTTTATCATGCATCTTATACTTTTTGTAATTTTTTTTATCGTTATCAATATTATGTTTTCTCTTACCATGTAAATCTCTACATGTTTTTCTATCTTTATTTTCTCATTTCTTTTATTTTTAAGTACTTTTATTTGAAAAAATTGTAGTAAAGAATTTTGAGAACTCACTGTTCGATTTTAGAAGTTAGGTGTTTGGAACCATTTGGGGGCACACTCCTTTAGCATGCCTGACACACCCCTAAAGGGCGCGACACTTCAACCCATTCCCCAAAAATTAAGTCAACAAAATTTTTTAGTTTTGAAAGATCAATTTTTATCAAGACCAGATCAAATTATCTTGAGTTAGACCAGATCAAAGGATTTTTGCACAACACTAGCCTTTCGAACCAAGCATATTTGAAGAGCTTAAGAGACATTCTTTTGATGACTTCAAGGATGATGGACTAAAGTAAAAGCCAAATCATGGCCTTTAGAACTAGTTTCAGATGAAAAGTTTAGGTGGCAACTACTTGAGAGCACCAAACTATTCTAGACTGATAAATTAGAGGAGGACTCTGCACCTTTGGGATCAAATAAAGAGCAAGATCTATATTCAGAGTCCTTCTTTAAGAATGAGCCAGCCCGTCAAGTAAAATATTATTTGAAACTTTGACTAAAAAGAGCTTTCTTTTCAAGTTCCACACTGCAAACATAAAAAATGCATGAAAGATGGAACAATTCAGATATCTATACAAACTTGACATTTGACGAGCTCGACCAAATTTATATGCGAGGGGTAATTGTTTGAGCTAAAATATGATTTTTACCCTAAGTCCAATTATTTAGGCTAAAAATAGAGATTAATGAGGAAGATTTGGTCAAATGCACACCCTTTTGGGGAAAAAAAAACAAGAGGAATTTATGAGAAAAATTACAACTGGTGGCCCTAAAAAAATGAAGTATGGAACCATGAGAAAATTGTCACTTTGTGCTTATAAGAAGAGAAGTTACCATATGCATATAGGCCCACACAATGCCTCTAAACACTTCAACAACTCAATCCCCAAATCTATTTGTCCAAAGCAAAACTCAAACATTGACCCTGCATCACCCCAAACCATGCATTCAATAGAACAAAGAGTTTTCCAACAATCAGTAAAGTATTAGCTCCTAACAAAATAGTAATTCCAGTGTACTAGAATTTTTTTACTTTTCTTTTAGTTTTTCATCTTTTATTTCTTGTAATTTCTCTTTTATTATTATCAATATCATGTCTATTATCACCATGCAAATCTCACATGCTTCTCATCTTTTTTTTTTCATTCTCTTTAATTTTAAGCACTTATATTTAAGGAAATTGTAGTAAAATATCCTACAAACTCATCGTTTAATTTAAAAGTAAAATAAATTGCACTTTTTGAAGACACACTCCCCTGGCACGACAACGCAACCACAGCCAAACATAGATAATCTTAAAAGTAATGTTTTGAAACTTGAATCGAACATTGAACTGAAAAGGGCAACATGTCATGATTTTCATGGTTCAACCAGTAAAATTGATGGTTGAACCGGTGATATAAAAATTAAATGAAAATAATATTTATATACACAAATATATAAATGAAATATTAATTTATCAATGGTACTTGGAATCTTGACGCTAAAGGTTAGACACCTAAACCATTAGAACTAGAGGCAAAGACATGTTGGCACAAGCTCACAATCTTGAAGCAAAATAGTAGATGTAGAGGCATGCTATCATATCACAACTCATGAGCTTTCGATCTAGATGCTAAAGATTGGATTGCTAGAACTAGAGGCAAAGACTTAAGGAAAAGTTAGAAATTAAGCTTAAGCCATGGAGGAGATATCAAATATGAGATAAGGGAAGATAGAAGAGAATTAGAGATTAGAAAAGAAAAAACGCAAATTTGAGCGACTTAGTCTATTTTTTTTTTTTTTTTGCTTTGACTCAAGTTAACTCACTCCCATTTTCGAGTTAAATTTAATTCTCTCAAAACTAATAGATTCAACCTAAGTCAATCCAACTCAATTGCTAGATTTGTATTTCAATTAGCAAGTGGTGATTGAACTGTCCACTCCGGTCTGATTTTCACAACATTGCTTAAAAGGATAAAACATTTGGAAAATGCAATACTACCAGCTTGTTTTAACATTTTTTAGCTAGACTCAAACCATAAATACTTAGATACTCCCTCCATCTCAATTTATAAAACACTTTTAGACAAAATTTCACACATCAATAAAGCTCATTAAAAACACTTCACAACCTTACTTTTTTAAGACAAAAATATAAATTTTTAAAAATGCCTTTCATTTAATACTCCATTAAAAAAATTATATTGATGAGAAAAAATATATGAGAAATAATATTAAAAAAGAATCACTAACAAATCTTTTTCTTCATCGAAATATCTTATATTTTGAAATGTTAAACCTTTCTCAGTGTTATATATATATGGGAGGGAGGGAGTATTATTCAATATCCTATCACATTCTTATTATAGAGAAGCATACAGCAGAATAGCTTGACATATTATTAAAAAATAATAAGAACGTGACTAATTTTAAGACAATGAATCATTGCAGGAATGTAACGGGGGCAATAATTATACAACAGCCTCAGCAGTTTTTGAATAGAGTGATTTAAATGAGGGCTCGGACTCCTTCTTGTTGCATCTCTCTTAGTCTCCACATCAAATAAATGCAATCTTCTCCTCGATCTTCTGCTTCCATTTGTTGTAAAGCCCAAGCATAATAAACCGTGTGGATTGTATCCTGCACAAACAATCGGAAACAAATTCGTGTTTCATTCACCCCATCCAGATGGTACATCACTTGCAGAAAAAAGCATCACTTACCTTGCCTCCTTCTGTAATTGACCCATTCCTGCCACGTACACAATAGATTTGCTGTGTTTGAAACTGAAAATTCATTCAACAGAAAACAAACTTTTAATTTCACCACCAAGTATATACATTCAGTCACCTAATCTTGTGATTTAGCAAAATCCTTCTAGAAGTGTATATTCATATACCATTACGATGATTAAGGGGGAGGACCCCATCATCTTGGTTTCTCTCACTTCAACCTCGGATACATGCAAAATCTGCATCAGACGTCAAACATTACAAAGGGCACTATATCTCGAAAGGGGAATGTAGCTCAATCATATACATTATACAGGTAAATATAACAACCAAGAAGTATATAAATACGATCTACAATTGTTTTATATAAGTTAAGATTTCAAGAAAAAAAGGATGGAAATGCTTGACATGCTATTTGATGACTCCTTAAATTTTTGTGGTTTGCGGGTTATATGTTTTAGTAGATTTAAGGAAGTTATCTATCCCTTTTGATTCAATTTTGGTCCATTAAATACTATTTTTGCTCAATCCTTTCCCTTGCTGCAATAGTGCTTTTTAGCTTTAGTTGTTATCGTGTGTTTCTAGTTGTTTATGTAGTGTATGTGTGACTCTAGGTAACCCTGAACAGTTTACGGACAGAACCTGATGAATATACTAGACAAAAAAGTAGAGTTCCGCTATTTACGAGAAGCACCAATAACAAGACATGGCTGTAACCCGAACTAATCTAAATCTAACTTGCATTAGTGTGATTACAATTACTTTATAAGAGACCATGGAGAAAAGGATAAGAAGAATAATAACTACAACTTGTAAAAGCACAAGACGCATTCCTTCTCTACTATGACCACTAGTTGCTAAATTTTACTTCTTATCTATACTCGATATATCATTAGGTGTTATCAACACATTTCAAAAGCAAATAATTTGAACAAGAAAAATGAAAAGATTAAACAAATTAGCACGCTCACCTTGTTATCAAAGAAGATACCATTACTTTGGTATGCAGCATGTTCTGCCTTACAGCGTTCAATGAGCTCAGGACTACAATACTTTTTCAAAACTTCAACATCTCCCTGCTCAAGATTATTTATAATTCGTCTAGGGAAAAAATGAACTTGACTACGAATAGATATTATCATGTTAAAAAATGAACTGCACTACAAAAGCACATTAAAGAATAAGAATTCCAACATTTCTGCAATAGTCTAGCACTAACCTTGACGTAAGCATTAAGCACTGGTTTTATTGCCTCCTGAACTTCCCCCACAAATTCCGGCAATGAGAAATAACTAAGCCATGCAAACACAGCCAAAGGAAGATGTCAACAAGAAGACTTGGTAAAATATAAGTGGCCACAATGAAAACAAAATGAAAGAGACATACGGATCTCTTTGACAAATTTCCTTGTATGATAGTGCGGCATCTGACTCTTGAAACATGCTATCATTTATACTGTAATAGGGTCAAAGTAGATTAGCAATTAACCTATTTTGGAATATAACCAGTCACAGTAATTCTAAGCACAAAGGGGGGTGAAAGAGAAGCCAGGGCTTACTCTTGTATTTTGTGAATAATGGGGTTGTCACTGGTCTCATATCTTTCACGCAAGTCTTCTACAATCTGTCAGTTTTAGCATGCAAATAAATGATGACTTGGGAGTCAAATATGGACAGTTTTCAAGTAATTATGTTCGCAGAAGAACGAACATTAGGAGTATAACACACCTCCTGGCCCTTTGACTTCACAGGGTCACTATACTGAACAAATCGCTTGGATATAGGATGGCCCTTCACCTAAATAGAAGGCAAAGAAATAAATTGATGGGAAGATTGTTAAGACCATCCAATAACATAAAACTTCCTAACAAGTTACCTTCTCCTTAAATTGACCAAACTTCTTAGCCCACCACGATTGTTGTGAGGGCACCACAAGAAGTTCTGTTCTTGTACTCGTTTCCCCACTTGATTTGAAAGGAACATGCGTTCTCTTTGTCGGATTACTACTTATCTCCTCTTTCACAATATCATATCCTTTTTTGGCTAGGTTGGCTATCTTTGCTTCCTTCAATTTTTTGAAGGCCACAGAAACATTTGGGGAAGAAATGGTTGACTTAAATTTGCCAAAGAAAGAGTCTGCAGCATTACTGGACCCAGATTTCTGATGTTTCTCATCCTCGGATGAGGTCTGGCTTTCTTGTTTTGCATCAGCATCCTGTTCAGACAGAGAACCAGAAGATCCTAAAGAATCCTGCTTTCCAATCCCAAAAGTTTCTTTTACCTGAGTTATACAACAAATATAGACAACAAACCATCAAATGTCATCCCTTGCCACTTCCTTGCCAATTAAAAATTTTCAGACAAACCTCCTCAGTAGCAAATGAAATCTTCTCTTTCACATTTTCAGAAACCTGCAAAAAGAATTATTTTTGGAAATTAGAAACTTAGCAGTTTATTTACAATAGATAAGAGCCCTAAGCCACAAATCCCAGAACTGATAATAATATAATGTGAATGGAATACATTGCAGTCTAAATGGAGGCAAAATGATGTAGGCAAAGGAGAGTGTGATGATAAAATATTTTCAATATTATTCAATAGGCAGAAAGGTCTAACAAATGGGGAGAGGGCCTAGGACTATTTATACCCAGACACAAACAAACAAATATTGACATAAACTAATTTTAACCTAAATAAAATCAGAAAAGAAAAGATAAAGGACCTAATTCAAAAATCAATGAAAAACCCCCTAACTTAAAAAAAAGAAAAAAAAAGAAAAAAGCCAAAGACAATTACTAAATCACAAAATAAACACAATTTATACTTTATATTTTTCTATGACTAACATAAATCTTCAATCCTCCATCACAAAACATCTACAATGTAAGTGTAATGGTCTTTTTGAAAGACAATGATTTCCATTTGTGAGTCACTTATTTGGAGCACAGCAGAACTTCAACATGAACTGTGATAATACCTTCTTTGCGGCAGCTTCAGCATCTGTCCACACTTCATCAACCTGTTTGTACAGCTGCTCAGTTTTCTGCTTTGTTCTGCATTCGCCATTTCACCATCTCAGGCCCTACATTGAAGTGTCCACCCAGCCTTGACATACAACAGTATGTCTTAGCCTTTAAGAACTAAAAAAACAATACATTGCAATAAGGCCGCCACAATACAAGATTTACCTTTCTCTAAGTCCCTCTTTTACCCCTCGCAGCTCCTCTGCTTTATCCTTCAGCTCCTTCACAGACTGCTGGAATTCTGGATTTCTATGGCCATGGAAAGACAAGAAAACACGTACAGCAGCCAGTTATTAACGCAAGAGAAAGGAAGAAAAACTCGTGGATAGACAAATGAAGAAGCCATACTAAGCAAAGAGAAGCATAAGCGAAAGGTGACTGTTCCAAAATTTAAGTGGTAACTCATATGATGAGTAATAATAAAGGACTCCCCTTCAACAAGACAAACAAACAAATAAATAAAAAGATCTCTACTATCGCTGTCCATATCTTGCCACCATTGCAATGGCCGAAAGAATGAGTGACTAAATATCGTGATTTACCTATCAGCTTCGCCTTTCAGTTTCTTAGAGAATTCATTGAAGACACCATATCCACGAAGACTCGAACACCTATCCGCAGTAAGCAAACGCAACCTCGTGCTTGAAGCCTGTGAAATTGGAAATCCCGGATGGTGGGAATGGTCGGTGAGCAAACAGAGAATGTTACCCGCGGATATTAGGAACAAAAATAGATTTTTGTCATTAAATGTGCGAACAAACAAACCTGGCGAGACGTTAATTGAACAAAAAGAGATCGCTTGGACAGTAACAAGTCGCGAACCAGCTTTCTGCCAGCCATTTGAAGGGCTTAACTTGAGGGAATAGTCGACCTTTTTTGTCTCGGGAAAAATTCAGGTCTCTTGGGATGCCTGATCTGCAGCGACTACGCTTATGTTTATTGATATTTCTAAATTTCTAATTTGTAAATCAATTTCCCATCTTGAAGAAGAAAAAGATCTTCAAGCTCTAGGGTTGCACCGATCAGAGAGCCCCCGCGTCAATTAAACTTTGGTCAAATAAACGTGAGTTTGTATTTGGTAAATCAAAAACTGATTTGAAGTCTTTATCAAATTTTTTTTTTAACGATTTAAATTTAAACTTACTTAACACTTGACCTAACTTATAAATTTATTTAAAAATTTATTTAAAAATAAAACTTTTTAAATAAACTCACATTATAATTTTAAACATTTTAAATATACTTTAAGGTTATTATAATATATAATATATAACTTAATTTATCAATTATAATATATAAGAATTGAAAGAACTTACTAATTATAATATAATATGAAAATAAAATGACAATATTAAAATTAATATATAAATTAAATATAATTAAAAATATAACTAGGAGCAATAAAAAATAAATTAATTAAAAATTATATGGTAAAATTAATATGTGTGTGATATGATACATAATATATATATATATATATATAAATTGACCTATTGAACTCATAGGATAGGCATTACAGAATATGTCTAACCTATTCTATTAAATAAACTTAATTAAATACTTAATTTTAATTTAAATTTATTTAATAATTAAGTTAGGTTAGATCTGAAATAAATCTAGTTATAACTCCTATAAAAAGTTGGCCTGTTTTCACCCCTATCCACCCCCGCCAAAAAAAAGGGAATCAGCGCAAGCCCATTTCCGTTTTAAAAAAAAAGCAGTTTGCATGAATTCAAACGAGCCCACCAATAGGCCCAAACTTGTATGGCCCGTTAACAAGCTGCTTTTTTATTTGGAACTCCCATTAACAAGCTTAAAGTTTCACATCTTATCTAATCATCTGGAGTTACATAAAAGACAAGAAAACATTAAATTTTAACCTAACTTAAAACTCAATCTCATGAAAAAAATTGAGTTAAGCAACCTGTTGTTCAATCTTGTCAAATGATAATTCGAAGTTTAATAGGATTAGATTAGGTTCATAAGACTAGAAGATTGATCCTGTTAGTTCAATATTTACTTAGCTTTTTTTTTTTTTTTCTATGAGAGGCAATAATTCATTTCAACTTAATAAACTCAATTAAGATAATAAAAGCACTTGTAATCATAATAAATTCATAGTAATTTTCAATAAGAAGAAAAAAATATTTCAATTACAATCCAAATAATTTAAATTTATAACTTCAATAAAAATAACACTCAACAAACTTCAACAATACTATACTATAACAATAATTTAGAAATAAACTCAACAAATCTTCATACAATTATCTCCTTAGTATCAATTACACTTAAAGCATTTATCAAGAATAAATTAATTATGATCATATTAAATAAATTAATAGGACTAGATTAGGTGGTCTAGATGTCCAATCTCCTGTCCAATTCAACCCAAAGAAATAGTTTGATTTTTTTCAATTTTTTTAGTCTTAAAGAATCAATGTTTATATAAACCGAATTGGATTGAACTATCTTAAGTCAAATAAGGTTAGGTAGGATCGAAAAACTTTTGTACAATCTTAATTTGACCATGTGTACCATTTTCATTTTAAGCATTTGAGATTTTGAAATACTAGTACATCAGATAATTAAGTCGAATGTTAGTGCAACCTTTTTCTAGTAATATCTAGGTGAATATCTAATGCCACTTCACAAGTCTTGGTGCAAAATTTCATAACTCTAACTGGTGTTAAGAGTCTCTGAATCACATGATGGATAGAGATGTTTTTCATTTTTCAACCTTCATAAATTATCGATCAGTTTTTATTTTTATCAAAATTTTAAAAAAGTCATAAATTATCGATCACCCCATTCACTTTGTAAAGTGTTTTGCCTTAGCTTTACCGATGTTCTTTTTTGTCAATCAAAATTTTATCTATATAAGAAGCTATTCGCACCGAATATTTGTCTGTAGCATTTTCCGCCGTTTGCAGCTTAATCGATCTAATAATTTTCGTATTGACTTGTTTGGAGGAAATACGGAACACATTTTTTTCAGCTAATAAACGTCACAATAATGTTGGCCAAGAAAAAAAGGTTGCGATGCTAAAGCATAATAGATTCGATTGAGTTTCTCGCAGAACCTAATGTCGGCGACGAGTAGGAGGCAAATATAAAAGATAAATGTAGAAAGACGAAGCAAGTTCAAGATTTGATTGACGAGTGAAATCAATACTAAATTGAGAGACACACAACCAGTAAGTAAAATGCACCGAATCAACACGAAGATCACACCACACCAACAAGAGAATGGATTTAAGAGTGTGATATAGCGGGGTTGATAGGATCAGTCACAAGCAAGATTAGCCGATGAGAAGCGCTTGGCTTGAGACGAAGCTGCAGCTTCCGACACCAATGCTTGAATGAGCAGCGTCTTGACCTGCCAAGGTCTGTACGGATACCCCTCTCTCGTGTACGAGTTCAGCAGCGCCGCGCTCGCCTCCTTCACCAGCCTCCCAAACGCGTTCTCTTGGTCGTTCCTCGCAGTCGCCTCCGCCAATGTCAGATCCCAACTGTACCGCTCGTAAGTCCTGGAACCGAACACCTTCCACACAGTAGACGTCTCCGGTACCATTCTGGGCCACTTCTCCCTCCTTCCACTCCAGAACCTTCGCATTAACAGTTCAGGCAATTTGCGTAACATAATACGAATGTTCATAACTGGATTAAAATGTTGAGAGAAGAGATCTTACTGCGGAGTACATCTTCCTCTGGTCCTGGTGTAAAGGAAGCCAGGCCTCAGCGCTCGAGCGGCAGCTATTTGCCAATCTGAGAATAGTAACAGACAAAATAGAAGGAGAACACTCATCTTGCAGTTGCAGGACCCCGACCTCTCAACTTGGACTTCCATTTGGGAATCAATACTCCATTTTACACTCTCCGAGATCTCGGTTCTGAGATTTCTTCTTCTCATGGTTTTGGATTTCAAGCACTGGCGTCTCCCCTCTCTCCACTTTATCGAAACTAGTGAAAATTGATAACTTGTTTGTTTGCTTGACGCATGTTTCCATATGGACATTTTTACCCCTCCAATTTATCGTTAGATTCATCTCATAATTACATAATAACTTCGAACGAATGATTATTGGACTGCGCTGCAAGCAATTAGAGCTGAAAAAATAAACTGACCCGATCTTAAAAGATTGACTTTTAATGAGCTTAAAATTAAAAAGAATAAGTGTGTGTTTGATTTTCAGTTTGTTAAAAATTTATTTAGTGAAAGTTCATTTGGTGAAAGTCAGTTTAATAAAAGTAAGTTGTTGTAACGAAATTTGTATTTGGATATATTTTTTCAAAAGTCAGTTTAATATATTAAAAGTTGTTTTGTTTGTGATAGTAAGATGTGTTTTTGAATGTACAATTATCAAAAAATACATTGATTTATAATTTTTATTATACAAATGTAATATATTCAAAATATTTAAAAAATGTAATAAAGATTATAAATAACATAAATTTTGATCTATAATGCTAAAAATTTGATCTCTAATTATTTATATTTTTTAATTTGTAATTTTAAAAGATGTAATAAAGATTTATAATTTTTATTATACATTAATGCTAAAAATTAATATGATTAATTACTCAATTTATAATACTAAAAAAATTGATACCTAATTATTATTATTAAAATGATAATTATATTTTTAATGAATTAACAATTTTTTAAATAAAAAAATAAAAAATTAAATTTAAGATAGTATAGTTAAATAACATCCTACTTTTCAAATTCACTTTTCAAAAGCTTCAAATAATTATGTTTCAGAAATTCACTTTCAGCTATTGTTTGAATGTACTTTCAGGATGTGCTTTTTTGTCAAATATTCTACCCAAACAACTTTCAACTTTCTGAAAGTGAAATTTTGCTTTCTGAACGTGAAACGGAGGAAAACCAAACGGACCCTAACTCATTGAAACTCAAGTTTTTTTTTAAAGAGTTTATATCTAAAGCTCAGCGCTAAGGATGAAGGACTTAGAGTTTGTCCTGTGAGTTTCAAGTCCTTTTATTTTTTTAAATTAAAAGTAATTTATTCATTTTATTATAATATAAAATTTTATTTTAATGTTAAATTATATAGATAACATTTTAATCTTAATATCAACAGTATCTTGATTATATAAAAATTTCTTTATTTTAAATAATAAAATATTAAAGTTTATAAATTCTTAATTTAAGTCATACAATACGAATCATATAAATATAAAAATAATCTATTATTAAAAAATATAATTTAAAAATATTAACACATATACACAACATAAATCAAATTATTGTCTAGAATCTAAATTAGATTAAACAATTACTTTTTTGTCCAAATATATCATTTTTCAAAATTACACAAATCAAATTTTATCTAAAAGATATTAAACAAACCAAAGTATTATATAAATTTTAATTCTAAAAAACTACTATAACAACTAAATATTTGAAACATTATCAAAAATATCAATAATATTATCATAATAAATAATATTTTAAAATATAAATAAATAAATAGGTTTAAAAGGGCTGGCCCTTGACCCTACAGGGTTAACCCGTTTAGTCCCTCTATCCATTAAAGTTGGTTCTTATATTTAAAGTTTTAAAATTTAAACCTGACTCTAATAATTATCAAACTTAAACGGACTGATTCTATGGATTTGGCTTGTTTTTGGACCCTAAAAGCAACGCACCACTTAACAAAAATTACAGGGAGGGAGTCTGTGTGGGTGGAGCTTGCTGCTCACGTGAAGGAGTTGCATTGATGCAGACTTCAGGGTGGGGGAAAACACTTTTTTTTTTTTTTCAAATAAATTATTTTTTAAACCTGGGGCAATTTTGTATTCTTGATTCATCTTTCTTTTTCAGGTTAAAACACAAAACTGCCGATATTTTTATCCAAGCACACCCTATTTTTATAGTATTTTTTGCACAATTTTATCCCAATATTTTTTATTTTAATACAATATCACCCTATTACCATGCTTTGACCTTTAAAAATTTAACAATTTTGTGTCCCAGTGGCAGCCACGTAGCATTCCATGTAATCTTTTGTTTTTTTCAATTCTTTTTCTTCCTTCCTTCCGTCTTTTGATTTCTTTCTTCGTCCACTTTCTCAAGTCAATCACAAATTGATGGAAACTCAAAACCATATTCAAATCAGATTCAAATTCAGATGAAACACTTAAAAGCAAAAACCAATAAAAATTGAAAACCACATCTAGAGAAATCATACAGTATTGATTCGGAAATTAGATTCAGATTTTGGAACCACAAAGACCTGGGATGGAGAAGACGCATCTCGTTATCATCGTCATAGGCATGGAGGAAGCTCTCTCATTCTCATCGTCGGTGCTAAAGAAGAAGAACTCAGATATATGAAGTAAGGTATAGCCAAATCAAAATGAAACAAGAAACTTAAAAAACTTAATGCCAGAAATGGATAAACCATAACAATCAAATTAAGACAAAGATTTGAACCCAAAAAACTTAATTAATAAACCCTGAAATTAGCGTCGGCCATCAAAGAAAAAAAAAACAACTAAGAATAGTCATGAACCCAAAAAAAAAAAAAAACGATGTCCACGAGCCTATGCTTTGGTTCTAATCTTGAGAGACCATCACGAAACCAAAAGTTACAACAATTTGACTTTCGCACCTTGCATGTTGTCTACACAATCGATTTTTGAATGTAAAGCCATATCATTTCGCTATTTGGAAATTGGACGAGCCAGACCCTAGCCATAGCAGAGGGAAGGAAGAAGAAGATGGTGAAAAAAAAAATGACAATGACAGGGAAGACAAACAAAAACAAGACTTATTGCTTAGAAGAGCTCGATGTCAGAGTCAGTATCGTCATCAACTTCTCACACATGAGCTTTTCCTTCACTCATTATCCAGACCAAAGAAACCCTCGACCCTCCTCTCCAACTTCAAATTCAACTTATCACTTCCTATGTCTTGATCTGACTCTGTCGCACCCTCGACGCTCTCTCGTGCCTCCAGAAGGAAGGATCAGCAGAGAAGGTTTTCTCGAACTATCACTCTAAAATGGGAGTCAACCATCATCGCTGGGGTAGGAAGAATATGTAGAAGAAGAGGGATGAGGGTTCGTGAATGATATCTAGGTTTGGAGGAGGAGGAAGATGATGATCATGATCATGATGAAGGAGATCTAGGTTTGGAGAGAAGTGAAAATGCAAAACATAAGGGGATTTCATCAGGATGCTAATGTGGAAAGCCAACATTGTTTTTTAAAATCAATCCGAACGGTCGAACTGGTCCGACCGTTGACCTCTCTAAATTTCGATTTGGTTTATATGAGAAAATTATTTTAAAGATTGAGCCGGGTTGAGTCGTTTTCAACTGGGAACCAGAATCAAGTCAGGAATTGAATACAATTTTCAAAAGCCAAACTGTTAAAAAAAACTTTTTTATTTTTTATCCAATTTTTTTAAAAATGACTAATTTTTTTAAAAATTGACTAATTTTTTTAAAAATTGACTAATTTTTTTAATCATTTGATATTATGTTGTATCATGTAGCTTATTAAGTCATGATAAACTTAAAATATTTGGTTTTTTAAGTTAAGTAGTAATTTTATATGTATTTTTTATATTTAAATTATTATATACATATATAATTTTTTTAATTTAATTATTATGTCACCGGTCTGACGATTGGTCCAACTAGTGAATCATGTGAATCGTGAACCGTTGATTTTTTCGGTTCAATATTCGGTTCAATTCTGAAAACATTAAAGGCCAACAAGGCAATTAACGTTGAAATTTGTTAATCCAACAGTCAATGTGATCTAACAATTAGGTCAAGACAACATTATACCCAAAAAAAAAATATTGAAGCAAAATTATATCAAAAAATATTTTAAAATATGAAGTGCGCCTGGGTGAAAACGTCAAGGGCTGTTTTGCACCTAAACCCTCCTTTCTACTTCTTTTTCAATTTTGCACCTAAATCTGACCCGGAACTCGATCTCTGATTCAGGGTTGAAGCCCAGTCTGAGTTTGCTAGTTGTCTAATGTCCATGGGGCATGGGCCCAGTTTCCCGAGTTGAACCCGAGGTCCACATGTTTTGGGAACAACACCATTAACGACATTCCTCATGCCGTAATTCTCCAAGCCAATTTAGTGGTTAAAAAAAATCATTCTTAAGTTTCACACACAAAATTATTAAGCATCCAGCGTCACGCAGCTTCGTCCGCTTAATCGGCATACGCAAGCAACATGTTCGAACTAATTTAACCGCAGGTGCAAATATTCTTCCACCCTCCTAAACATGCCTTTAGAGGCCCATTCACTTCATTATTCTCATCTACAGGTGCAGGTTCGTCACCACACGCATGTTAACAATCGAATTTCACTAAACTTCTTGTACTCAAAAATAAAAATACAATTTTCGCTGACTCCAAATCCCAAAAAGGTCAAACAATTTCCTCGTGAAGATAATACTCAAACTACAGGAATACTAACTGCATGGAAGAGACATTCTAGATGAATCGAATACATATGTACAGCAAAGTGCGCACATTGGTCATCTAGCTATTGCGTTTTGCATTGATTGAACTTCTAATGTCACAGCATCCTCTGAGAAAGTCATATTTACAAAATATTATAAGTAAAACTGACATGGCAACTTCAACATAAATCATTGTGACGAAGGGTGAGGATGAGACATCAATCAGAATGCGAGGTTATTATACACAAGAGAAGAATGTAACTAGGGCCTAAGCTATCAGCTATGTATATAGCAGGCTCATAATCCCTTGTAGCCTATCCATGAATTTTAGGACTCGCGGTATTTGGTCAGGTCAAATGTCAGAGTTCTCGAACAGCTGTAGAAAGCAAATCATGTGTACCACATCAACTTGGAGGATCACGTGGATTTACAACAAGAAGGAAATCGATGCATGTTGGAATTTAAATTCAATCATTGTCAAGCTTACCTTCTCTCTGAATCACGGTAAACCCCA